GTTCGTGCCTCTGGGCGCTCAGCTGCTGGAGGCAGATCAGAGTTGCTCTTCCTGTTGGACACAGCCTGCAGGCAGCTTTGCCTGCGGTGCTCCTTGCCCCTGGTGCAAACAGCTGGGCTGATGCTCCCCACGGCAAGGTGAGCGTCACCCGGTGTGATTGACTGGATAGAGCAGACTGTGAAAGCCACTGCAAATCTATTCTTAACTGAGTTAGACACGCGTTTAGAGGGACTAATTACAGGCTACAAATGCTGGACAGCTGGTGGATAGGCCCAGCTGGCTTCCTTCCTTTTCTGAAGGGCAAAGGCAATGCAAGGAGAATGTTTCTGAGTCAAGGGGTCACGCTGTTCTTTCTTTTAAACGAAGGACAAATAATTGATGAGCAGGAGCATGGGAGTTAGGCACCGAAAGACCTCTGAGGATCTGGGCCTTCTGGGAACATCTCCTCTGCAGCTGGTCGGGTGCTTCCCCGCACGGATAGACAGACACATGCTAGCTCACCTCGCGCACGCACTAAAAAAAGCAGTGTGTCTGCAACAGCCTGGGTGTCAGCTTGGGCTAGCTGCCTGAGAACAAACCTGCCCGACACACCGGGTACGTACTCGGGTGGCTAGCCTGAGCCGCGGCAGCCACTCGGCTACTTTTAGCACCCTAGCTCGAGCCCAGATAGCACGCGTCTGTCTTTCCAGTCTGCGGAAATGTAGCGTACCACTTGTGCCTTAGTCCCCATCTGTTCAGTGGGGACACCAGCACTGCCCTGCCCTGCCTATCCATGGTTAAGGGTGTGAGCTGCTCAGACAACGTGGTAATGGGGGGCATACTGGAAGCTTTTAAGAACAGTGTATGTGGTCCTGGCCCAGTGCAGGGAATGGACTTGCTAACCTCTCAAGCCCTACATTTCTGTGACACTGTGGTATAGGATCATGAGATGGTTTATGGCAGCTCTGTGCTTATGATCCATAATTCAGTGATTATTTCCCCCACTGTGCTAGGCGCTGTACAAACACAGAACAAAGAAGATAATCCCTGCCCCAAAGAACTTCCAAACAATGTACACCAGCTCCTCTCCAGCCCATTGCTTCATCATGACTCCTGGGTCTCTCTCTCTCTCCTTCTCTCTTTCGACATCCTTTCTCATGCTGTCTGCTCCCCACCTGTGAGGTGCACACAGCCCGGCCAACCTGCTGTGTCTGCCCTCAGCCTTGTTTTCTTGGTGATGCAAGGTCACTTCAACCCAACCCTGTCTCTTTGTCCACAGCCAAAACCTTTATTACAACCAATAGCCCACTGATGCTATTTCTTTAGCTTTGAATAACAAAATCCCACCCATAAAAAAAAGCTTGAAGGGATCTGACCATTAATTAGGTTTATGATCAAAGAGCCACTGTCCAGCAGCAAAAGAGAATCATGCACAGATAATGAATTAACTCGGCTAGCCAAGCAAAACGGCTCCTTTAACCTGCAGGGCCATACTTCCACCTTCTCCTAAGCCCCGGTTAAATAAATGGCTTTTGCAGCATGTCTGAAAGGTCATCAAATAATAAAGCAATTCAAATCTAGGAAGGGAACTGCACTGGCTCCATGCTGTGAAAGATTGGCTGTCAAAATCAACTATCAGTACAGGGGAGGTGATGCGTGCACAGTTCCCATAAGAAACCCAGCTCCGATCTAAGATGGCTGAAGGAAATATTTCCATCTCTTCTTAGCAGCCCCCCCTCCCCACCATTTATTACCCTTGAGAGTTAAGTTGTCAAAAAATGAAAATAGGAAATTTTAGATGGTGCCACAAAGGTGCTGATGAACCAAAACTCTTTCAAATGCAGATAATTTGTGCAGCCGTGGGCACCACTGATGGCAAATATGGGGTGAAATATTGAACGGTCCAAGAGAACGCAGCAGAACTCTCTTCACTGGACACCCCAGTGGATGTCCTTCACCGCACTGAGAGGAATTTCAGACAGAGAAGACAACTTTGCAGGAGGAATGCTGCGGCCCGAGGAGCTGCAGAACCCGTTGTTACTGGAGCCGGAGGAGACGTTATCGCAGAGGGATGGGGACGGACTGAACCTGCTGCCTACCTAGCGCTGGTGGCAGCTCAGCTGGAGAGAAGATGCTGGGGAAGGAGAGAACATCTCCGAACAAGCAGCTATGAAGCAATTCATAACACTTGCCCAGCGTACCACGTGTGCGGGGAGGTGGGGCCGAAAGGTCAGAGGCGCAAACGCACAGAAGCAGGATGAGAGAGACCTAAGCACCATTAAATGACCGCAGGCGTCCCCATGAAGTGGAATTACGGTGCCCATTAAGCATTAGACATTATCAGTAAGTACCAATGGGCTTAAATAGGTTCCCTGGAAGATGTTTTCACTGAGTCGATTTCCCTAGGTAGCCGAGGGACATGGTAGATTCTCAACAAAAAGAGGCTGAGTTTCAAACAAGTTAGGTGGACAAATGCATGCTTAGTTTGCATACCGAATGTCTGCGATCAGATAAGTATATACACAAGTGGCCAAATATGGCCATTGGCTTGTGCAGTCAGTCACCCAATTTACCAGTGTGATCACCAGAGCCGGTGCTAGGCATAAGCAGACTAAGCAATTGCTTAGGGCCCAAGCAGCTCAAGGGGGCCCCCTATTACTAGTTTGTGTTGTGTGTGTGGTGTGGGGAGAAAATATTCCTGCTTTGGGCCTGCAATGGGCTAGCTGCACCTCTGATGATCACAGTTGCTCCAATTTTGTGCTTGGACATAGCAGCCAGTGGCAGATACAGGTAGTCACTTTCAGCTGCCTTACTCCATTGACAGTTAGAGTAGCAGGAGGCCTATTTTGAGTTTGCTCACCGGTGTAAAGTCCAAAACTGAGCTTACACCAGAGGAGGATCAGGCATAGCAGAAAAAGGAGAGTTCCCCCGCTGGCTATTTCTGTTCTAAAGCCATCCATCTTTCAGCTCCTGACAGCAGATGACATACGTGAAAATCCTGTCTAGAACCTCTGGGCAGATAGATGCACAGATGTATAATCTACATCTGTTATCTGCTGAAGTAAGTGTCCCAATGCAAGCATGAGCACTCAGGTATATGGTTTGAATTTGGGACACTGCAGATTTTTTAGTTCCATAAAATAAATAAAATAAATGTTAGTATCTTGAGATAAGCATAATCCTACGCCTTTGCATTAGGCTAATTAGTTGTTTGCACAGGGTTTTGAAAAGGGAAAGGGTTGCATCATTGCTCAGTATTATGATGATCATTGTCAGACCAGAATCAGCAAAGCACAGGCATCTCTTAGAAATAGGAGAGGTTTTTATTTTTTTTTTATATTGCATATATCTGGCATAAACCAAATGGTGAGTTATATTGTTTTTGAGCACGAACAAAGACATTGTTCCTGTTGTGATGTGTGGGAGTTAGATGCCATGTAACAGCAGAAAATCGAGGGCAGATTCGCAGCTGGTGTCAACTGTCACAGCTTAATTGAAGTAAATGGACTTGTTAGTCCCTACTTTCACCTGGAACTCTGCTGAAGATCTAGTTCAAGTGATAGGTGACTTTGTGTGATGCATAACTTTTTAAAAAAGAAAACTTTGGGATACTCCACTATGGAACGATCTTTTGTTTTCAATTCCCTATTGTTACCTTGTTCATCCAGCAAAAACAGGAATTTGTTTCAAATAGATACAAAAGCATGAATATGTTAGCCCCACTTAGGATCTCTGCATAGACCCAGATTAAAAAAACAAAATCTTTTGTGTTTGACTGCTAGTACAGTGTGTCTTGAACCAGCAACATACATTCAAGTGTAGCCCCAAATACAGGGCTAGAAGTCAGTTACTGACTGAACACTGACCCCAGCCCTGATGAGTGTGGATTTGTTACTCCTTCAGCTGCCAGATCCACACAGTAAAATCCACATTGCAGGTGGAGAAGGCTTTGGATTGAATTCCCCTGTTCTACACATGCAGAAATTGACAATTGGAACCTAACTTTTAGAACATTGTGATCAAAACAGATGGTCAAATTCTTCTCTCATTTACACTTGTGCAACTCCACTGACTTTAATAAGGTTGCCCCGGTGTCCACGAGAGTGTGATTTGCTCTACAGTTTGCATTTAAAACGTAGATGATAGATCTGACTGCATTTCTACTCAGTGCTGGTTTGTACAGTTCACGCTACACTACCCCGCAGGGAGCACCTGAAACTTCAGGGCATGCAAAAACTGTGTGCACACTGCTACACCGCTTTATGGATGCAGATAACTTCCCACCCTGCATGCTGGCCCGCAAATAGGGAGGGCGGAGTCATAGTCCTGCTTCCTCTCTGTCTCAAGAAATGTAAGGAGGAAGCAGCCCCTGCACTTCTCTCAATGCAGGAACTGGGAGTCTGCCAGGCCCTATGTGAGCTGAGCAAGTGAGGGGAAGACTTTTTATGCACCCCCACTGCTCGCTGGCATGGCAAGGCAGAATCTGTCCCTTGAAGTTTTAATTAGTCCAGCTATAGACTTGTCTGGTATTAGTTACGTGTCTCCTTCTGTAGAAGGGAAGCTGTGTCAAACCATAGGAAAAAGCCTCCCAAAATCTAAACAGATTAGAATAAATACAGGAGAACAGAACAATTGTCTCTACAGGTGTGGGTCAGCACATATAGGTTTGAGGAGGCAAGGACTGCAATTGGTAACAGCTGTTTTAGCTTGCGATAAGAAGCAATAAAGAAACCAAAGACCCTGTTGAAATCATGTCAGGGCTGCTGTTCTACAGCCATCTGTTGACGCAGCTGGTAAGAATCGTTACAGATGGCCATGGGGACTCTAGGACATTATAAAATGACAAATCAAAGATGTTATGGCACAAATTGTCTTGCAGATAATCAGATACACAGGCAACCTTTACCAGTTTGCCTAACAGCTTTGCTGGCATTAGCTAAAGACAGCTGTTTATTAACTCTTTATGGAGAGCCCCTCTTTCCCCCTGTCTGATGCAAGAGAATTTAAAGAGATGATAAAACTCACAGGTTTTTTTGCTAAATTTATTCTGACAATCTACCAATTAATTTTATGAAAGTATGACTCATAATGTTGTTATATAACACAGTCACATTACACTCTACAGAATACAAATAACCAAAACAAAGTTACTTGTAAATACAATCTTGGCTAACGAGTAGAGTTTACAGTACAAAAAACAAATTGAGGTTCAGAAGAGAAGATAAAACAGCCTTGTGATTGTCAGAGACATTAGCTGAAGCCAAGAAAAAACATGCATTTTTTTACAAGGAGTTTAACCCCCCCCACCCCGACGATGTTTGAGTAATCTTTCCAAAATAAATTTTAGTTAGATGTATCAAAAAATTCAAGCAGTAACAGATATCACTAACATGGGAGCAATAGGTCAACCTGTTTGGAAACCACTATGTTAGGGTTCATTATTTGGAAATTATGGGTTCTACATCATCCTGGTTCCCAGTGTCATAGGAATCTGTTCAATACACTCGTTGATGTCATATTAAGGTTCCAACCCTGCTCTGATGAAGTTCAGTGGAAACAAGATTGGGCCCTACACTTCATAAATACTACTTATGTACTGAAAATCCTACAAAACAGCCTCTCTCCCAGAAATGAAATGACTTATTACTATGGCAAACTGACCACTTGATTTTGGAATTTAAAAATAAACAAACTATCCAGCACATCATTTCTGTATTTTCTGGCCTAATGGAACAAGTCCTTTCTCTCTGCTACTCAGACACCAGATGAAACAGCTAGATAGGCAAATACAGACTTGGTTTATTAAGAACGCAGTGTTATCTACCTAAACTATACAAATTACAGAACAGATTCAGTTAAATCGGGAGCTGTTCTCTTACACTGATCGCATATAGCTCCAGCGTCATTTTGTTGCATGCAAGCTGCCATTTTTGATGAGACATCTGTCAATCATTATTGCGTGTCTGCTGGTTTGGAAGTATTTAAAAGAAGCCTTGATTTTATGGTTCCATCTCCAAATTGCATTTATAACATGGGGACAAAAACATCAAGGATGCCGCCACCATATGTAGTGTGACAGTTTGACAGAGGGGCATGGCCAAGTGGAAATCCTATGGCCTGGGGGATGTACAAGGTCAGACTACACGATTACCCCTTCTGGCCGTAACATCTTTGAGCTATGACATTCAAACTCGACCAAAGGAAATTCTTTTCACCAGAATGCACCGTTAGCCTGCAGAATCACTGCCGCCAGGAATCACTGAGGCCAGCGGTTTAGCAGGATGCAAAAAAGGACTGGCCATTTATCTGACTAACAAAAATATCCAGAGTTATAACCATGACTATTTAAGAATAAACAAAGAGCCAAGAGAGGAATATAAACCCTTAAGATGAAGAGGAGCATACACAACCTCTAGCTATATGAGCGTGAAGAAGAATCTATCACGAAGGACAGGTTATTCCAGATCTATTCCTCTGAAGCACAGCCACCTGTCAGAAACAGGAGACTGGAATAGATGGATCACTGGGCTGATCCAGTCAGCAATTCCTATGTTCCTGATAAACACAGGCCTCTCAGTGAAGACAAGCTCTGCTAGACCTGCGTTGCTTGTGTTTGACTTCAGAAGCGTCTCGGGAAAGAACTTAAAAATGCTTCACCCTCTCGGTCTCTAATACTGACACGTAAATATGATTTACTCATGCCATTTATTACAAGGCTGTATTACTGCAGATTCCTCTGCTTTGTAGAATGGCACTCCTATATCTGTTTGTCATCCACCGCCACCCCTGTAAACGTAACCTGAAAACCTCTGAAAAATCTTGAATGTTTCCTCCGGAAACCACTAGTTCAAGTCACCTTTCAAAAATAGGAAGCAAAGAAAGAGATGTGGGAAGCTAAGCGGTGCTCCTGTTGCTAAGTTGTTAAAATTATATGGCAATATGCTCCCAACAGTTGTAAGAAAATAATTTGTGGAGTGCTTACAAGCCTTACATACATTTAAATCGCAACTGGAAATAAAGTGTGATTAAAGTGATACACTTATAAATGTTACATAAAAAATAAGAAATACAAAATAAAAAAAAAGGAAAAGATCAGCACCAAAAAGCGAAACTAGGGGTCAGAGTCTCTTCTACATGCTAGTCCCTAGGGATTGGATCTCCTCCTCTGAGGAATCTCCTGGCACAGGAGAGTCCCTAACTAGCACAGGGCAATGTGTGGTCAGCTCCTGTGCTACATCTCCTTGCAGCTCTTACCATGGGGCTTGCTAGAAATGGAAGAGGGCATGGCCAGACGGGTACTGCACTCCAGTGACTTGCGACTGGCAGATAGCAGAACCAGGGAGCCATAACTAGCCATAACTATCCACAGCTAAGAATCTGGCCCTAAGTTCCCCCCACTTTTCTTGTTAATGTTGTTTAGAAACAACTGCCTGAGACATTTGATCTCTAGATTTTTTTTTTTTTTTAGGACAACCAACTCGTCATCCCTTGCCCACGGCAATGTCAAATACACCACAATCCTTTGGATTTTCTGCAGTGAGTAAAGTCAATAAGGTTCATGGACAGATAATACCAGCAGAGCTGCCTTCCTGTCCTGCCATGTAAAACAGAAACAGGGTACGGCATCTACCAATATTGGTCATTTAACCATGGTGCTGATTATGTCAAAATCAAGATTTAATTTTCCATACGCTACAATGGCGTTTTGGTAAGTTTCTGCAGAATCATTAAAACCTTAGAGCCCTGGTTATTCCATAAATTGCTTTGAAACTATGACAATTAATTTAATCCAGATGCACAGTCTGGCACTATTCCTTATTCTAAGTACAGTATGTTTTGATGGCAACACAAAAGCAAAATACACAAAGCAGATTTGCCGAAGCCCATAGTTTTGATGGGCTGCACACATCAAGAGGCAACTCAAAAAGAGCACACCTCTCAAATCATCAGGACAATAATGCAGGCAGACTTGAATCTGAAAGAATTCAGATTTCTTTGTGTATATGAAGAAACAGTTCACAAAGGAAAGGATCCTATGGCACGTGTTTAGCTCAATTTAGCCACCTCTGATACAGTAACTGAGGTGACCAAGAAATTGAGTGTGAATTATCCCGTTTGTGAAATGCTTCCAGTGGAGTAAGTTTGCTTTACAAAATTGTTGCGAAGGAGTATTCTAAATGGCCTCATCTAAGCAGGCTTAAATCTATAGATCGGCACTGAGAAACATAGATGAGGAAACGCACAGATTTAGGTAAAGTTTTGGCACCTCATATTCTGGAAAAAGATTCATTATTTCTTGTGCACATTTGACTAGAGTTCCTTTTTTCTCGACACCCTACAGAAATCAGACGCAGCTTTAATAATCCCACCTCGCTGGATTCAGCAGACCTCTTCTTCGGAAGGTACAGTATGGCAGCTGTCATGGGAAACAGTGTCAATGCTTTGTATTTCTGACTGAAGGTGGACCGATACCTGAACTGCTATTTCTTGACCCTGCTCATTCATGGAGCCATCATCCGAGTCCCCTGCTGGTGAATTACTGCGCTTGAGCTCTGGGTTGATGGGGTAGATCGTATCTTGGGTAGCAAGGGCTTGGGTCTGTTTGGTTTCCTCACCAACTTCATCAGGATCATCAACTCGCACTGCTTCGAAGATCTCCTCCATGAATGCCCTACAGTTCAGGATCAAAGGTGGGAGGGGGATGCTTCTAGCAAGCTCTTCAATGTATCGAGCAAATTCCATGGTCTTAAACTGGGTGACTTTGGCCAGCTCTAACGTTTTGGCAGATGTGATGATAGGAATGCGCTTGGCGATCTCAAAGGCTTTCTGAAGCTTCTCAGCCCCTTCTGTCCTGAAGAATTCATTGATGGCCTTCTCTGTCTTGCGGAGGTGGCTGCTCATCATACACAGACGGGTGATGTTTAAAATGAGGATGATTGTGAAGGCAACCAGACACACAATCATGTAGTAGATGCTCATGTCCCCGGATGTGAAGATAACCCTCAGGGTGACTGTGTAGAAGGAGGTGCCATTACGATTAGTGGCTGCACAGGTGTACCGCCCGCGGTCACCAAAAGTTACACTGGTAATGTTAAGGATTCGGTCAGTGATCAACCATCTTCCACCTAAAGATCCAAAAGAAACAAGTGTAGTAATGAGACAAAGAGAATTAAGAAAACGTAACAAATTGTGCTTACTCCTTTATTGAGATACAGGCCTTGGCACGAAGTACTGCATCTGTAACATAATACAAAGATTCCTCAATGATCATACCTGATGTGGTGGAGATTTTGTTCTGTAGCTTGTTTAGCCTGAATTTACAACTCAGGTGCTATAAGTACACCGGACCCTTGACAGAATGTGGGATTTGGGATCCATGCGCGGGACTGCGTTATAGTGTGGACCGTGTTAAAATGAATTGCAATTAAAGTAATTAAATTTGGGATCCATGGCCGCAATTGTATTATATGTGAATTTGCACTATATAGACGCGCGTTCTAGCGAGGCTCTGGTGTACTTTTCTACCGTAAGATTTTGCTCGCATCCCACTCTTTGTTCCATTTTGTATTGTTCCGTACAGAGCGGCTGTGCCTTTAGACCGACAGCTCTTTGGGGCACGGATTCCAGTATTTGTTTAGCACATTTTGCCCACTGTACGGTGCTGTGTTTATTTACTGCTCTATATAATTATAACGTCCAATTTTCCATGTGGATTGACTGAGGCAAAAGTTAAGTGAGCCATGGTAAACGTCACATAGTCAGTAAGGGTACATTTATACACTGCACACTAAGCCCAGGTCTGTGGGACCTGGGCTTGTGGACTCGGTGTTTCCAAGCCCATGCTTGAGCATCCACACTGCATTGAACACCTGGGTTAACAATTGCTGGCCTGTCTCTCACAGCCGTACCAACGCCTCCATATTGCACTGCGCAGACCTTCTGACTTGGGTCTGTGACTTGACCTGCATCCACACTGCAAAATGATAGGCCTTGGATACAAGTCCCAGTGGGGCTTGTACTTTGATTCTGACTCCCCCCACACCCAACAAGGTCCTAGCACCTGGACCCTGAGTGCTGCTGACCAGAGTCAGACTGAACTGAGTGTGGACAGGAGAGGGGCTTGGGCTCGAGTCAGAGCCTGTGTTTAGTGTGCAGTGTAGACATACCCTAAGTAGCTCAGCTGGTGTTAAAACCCATCCCTGGAGACCCAGTTTGTTGCTTTAACCACTACACAACTGTGCTTCTTCTACCGACTGACAAAACTCTTGGTAAAAAATAAATTAATAATAATAATGCTGGCTTCACAGGCAATTTCCTACATATTTACTAAATTGGGGAGGACACATTGTTTTCATAACTCATTCTCTTCATTTACGCTGCTTTCAATTAAATTTCCAGATGGCATCTAAAGATTATTTTAGCTGCACATAAGCTGGATAATACCCCAAATTAATATGCATAGCATTAAGAGGATACTGTCAGGTAGCTCAGGTTCACAATTTGACCTAACTTAAAACTTGTTATCTAATGAAGACTGTTCCCCAGATTCTATAAACAGTATTACTTTTTTCTTTTTTAAAATTAAGCACTTAATGGGCTAAGAGAGTGCATCTCCCTCTGTAGTAATGGTTAACTAGCAAAACCATTCCCTGAGCAGTTAAACATCCTGTTGATTTCCACAGAGTTGCTGGCGCATAAACCAGGAAGTAAATTTAATCAAATAATCTCTCGCCTTTAAAAAGGCCGAGAAAGCATGAGAATAGTTTGCCAGCTAGAAAAGGTCACAATTTGAGGAAAATTATTTTTTAATGTATGCTCCTAAGATGTAAAGAGCAGGACAAAATAAAAAATCAGTTATGAAGCTGATTCTCTGGATCTTTAATTATGTACCTTTGAAGCAAAACAGTTCAGCTCTACAAGATTAAGCATCAGAGCAAAAAGGGTGGGCCAGTGGATAGGGCACTAGCCTGGGACTTGGGTTCAGTTCCCTGCTCCACCACAGGTTTCCTACGTGACCTTGGGCAAAACACTTAGTCTCTCTGTGCCTCAGTGCCCCATGTGTAAAAGGAGGATAAACCTCTCACGAGGGTTGTGAAGATAAATATGTTAAAGATGGTGAAGTGTTCAGATACCATCTAAGATAGTAGCAGAGCTTACCTTCATCTCTTTCATTGAGCAGCTGTCCTTTTGAGTTGTACCAAAGGATAAATTCATACTGGCTGATGTTCAGTTTACATTCAATTAAAGCACTGGTCCCCTCCTTTGCTATGATATCATGATGTGCTGGAGAATTTGCCACGACTCGGAAGACTGGATGAAGTGAAGCAGTCAGAGAAATGGATCTTGACCCAGGTGTAATTGTCCTGTTAGAAGCTACATTTTCCAGGGCAAAAGCAGCAGGCAGACCCGCACTAACAATCAAAACTAACAGGCAACAACTGAGATTCATGGAAGATTAGAGAAAATTGTTTTTTTCATTTAACTTGGAGTAAGGAGCAGGATGCGTGATATCAAGCTGTCTGCATTAAACCGAGATCAGTGAGGAGGGTCTTGAGTTGTTCATTGACAGAGAGTTTCTTGGAAACATCTGAATCCCAGTGCACTTTCAAGACCATCGATATTAGTAGTGAAAATGGGAAATCCAACTGTGAAAAAAAAAAAAAGAGAATTAGGTTTGTTAATAATACCAAGCTTACGTGGTTTTCAAATCTCATTTCCAGTAAACAGATTTCAGACTAAAATAATTTAAACTGTCAGCTGAGGGGTTTGGCATCAGAGATGAGCTCAGAGCATGCCAAAGGGATGAGGGTAAGAAGATATTAGCATGATCAGTACTCCAGTCACTTCAGATGTACACTTGTTCTCCCCTCCAAAATAAGACATCTCAGGGAGGCTAGGCATTAGGGGCAAAAAGAATGTAACAAAAGGGCCAAAGTGATTAACAGATTGGAAATGCGTTGCTCCCATTGGGATCAAAATGTGGACTGTGTGTATGGCAAAGAAAAACAGTTTTCACAACACGGGGAAGATGAAGGATGAAAATGTAATTTTAAAAAACAAGTGATTTCAAGTCCTGATTTTCCAAAGGGTATCTACTCAGCCTCTTGTTCTGTACCTACAGATAACTGTGGGTGCATTTTATAGCCCTGAGACAAATAATTACCTGATTTGCAGGTACAATCAGTAGTTAGATGCCTAAGTGCTATAAAATGCACCCACAATTTTTTGTTCCTGGAAAACTGTATCTGCAATGATTTGTGGGTACAAAATGGAAAGTTACTTCTGAAATCTGGCCCTTAACATCGAACTGTTCTTCTTCATGACAACTTTTCTTGCTGCCACATTATCAGACTCCACATTTTTACCGTAATTTGATGCTGAAAATATTGCACTAATGGCTACTACTATTTAGCACTTACAGTATGTTTTTCATCTTCAAAGTGCTCTAAAAGCTACAAGTGCCAAATTCTGCTCTGCATCTCCTAGTGCTGTCAGGGGGTATTTTGACTAAGGACAGGACCCACAATTTTTAAAATGAAGGTGTGCACAAGATAATGGATGGCATTAGAATAAAAGACCACTATCAATGCTTCTGGTATATATCAGTTTTTTTCCACCGACAACCAAGAAGCAAAACATTTCAGTAAATACACTGAACTCCAAGAATGAGTTGGCATGAGAAAGGTTTACATTTGTATATAATTTTCATGAAACCTGACCAGAGAATATTTCTGATCTAGTAAATGTTCTTTAGACTCATCATTCCTTCTAGACTGTCCCATGGCAATGAAAACCAATTTATGATGGGAAAAACCCAAACTAAAATACCTTGGTATCTTAATGAATATCTTACTTCACCCTGTTGAATATCTGACTTCAATCTTTATAGTCTGTTGTTCTTCTACCAATAACACATACCAGCAGGGTTCTATTTCATAACTAGGACAGTACAAAGGATTAAGTAATTCATCTATATGCTTTTTATAAATAAGGCAGCAGGCACTTGATACGTTTTTTTCATCATTTTGACATTACTAGTTGACACTGCTTATAGTACTTTAACATACCACAGAGGAATAGGATCACGGCACAAAGGATTACTCTACAAATGAATGCACCTATTTTTTGCTCTTTAACTCCTTTATAGAATAGATTAATTAATCACATCCAGGAATTAGGAAATTCATTTACCACATACTATGCCAGCTAAGAATTTTTTATTAAAGGTTATTTGCCCAAGGACAATCCAGATTTCTAATTTGACAAGATAACTTTGTCCCATTATTGGTTGCTGTTGCCAAAAATCAGCTAATTAGAAAAAACAGTATTGTTGTTTGACTCTCTTTCAAGGTTCAGCTGACTGGCATGTCTAAACCTGAGGTGGAATTAGAGTAGGCCCCAACTGTTGTTTCTGTGTAAATCCACTGAATGGCACCGAGCCTGTCTCTCCTCCCCATTCTTTTTTCTGCATGTCTCATTTCTTATTTCTTCCTTTAGGATGAGGCTGGCAGCTGTGGAAGGAACTCGATTAGTGCCACGCTACTGAGCAGAACCCATTTCCCACAGGCAAGCTGACAAGGAATAGAGCTTCCTAGTTAGCTGCATTCCACCAGTGGCATCTCTGGGAAGGCATTTATGGAAAGAAACTGGTGCTGATCCAGTTCTGCTGGAGCTAGAGCAGGCTGTCCAGGGGGCTTTTCCAGGGACTTTACTCAGCCCCAAAGGCACACTGTTGCACATACTGGATCTATGAAGCTATTTAATACCTTGGATCCCTCTTTCATCTCCCTTTTCATTTCCCCCTACTCTCTTTCTTGTTCCTGATGCTTTCCCCAATCATCTTGCCTTGCTCTCCTTTTTCTCCTCTCACCTTTGTGCTTTCTCTAACCACCTTACCCATGGCACATCTATCTGCCCCCATCTGCCAGGCGCCCTCTCTGTTCCTTCGAATCCTCCTTGTTCAGCTATTCTTTTTCCTCTTTACTTCTAATCAATAACTCCACAAACGGCATTTCCCTTACCATGGTCCTGAGTTTATCTGGTGTTATTTTGCTGGTAAGCTGTGTGGGATAAGGCACATGTCCTTTTTATTTATGTCTCTGAAGCACCAAGTAACTTTACTACCCTCTCACTTTTATAATGAAATAAATAAATAGTATTGTCAGCACTACAGTTAAAAATCTTGTTTCTCTCGGGTCCATATGTCAGCTGAGAAAACACATTCAGACTGAACTTGGCATGTAAACATCTTAGTTTAGTAGTCATTTAATACTTTTAAATGTCTGAGGATACATAACTAAAAATATATAAATCAAAAATGTTAGAAGTTGATGAGTTTAAGATTTGTTTTGTGCTTATATAATTGCAAAACTACTTTGATTTAAAAAAATATTTTGGCAAGTAACTATTCCAAAATATGAACTAACCACTACTGGTACAATTTAAAAAAAAATTAAAAAGTTGAATACGTACAAGACAAATGCAAAGTTTCAGAAGGATATTTTCCACACAGACTTAATCAAGTGACATGACGTCTGTTCTCATATCTTGTATAAATATGAGAGACACTATTTTATAACACAGAGGTTCTGCTTTTTCTTTAAACTTCCCCCTAACCCACAGGAAATAAAGTGAAATAAACAGTTCTATGTAAAAGAAACAACAAGAGCAAGAAGATTCAAAGTTTATATTGACACACAATCTTTCACTCTTTTTTTTTGGTGGGGTGAAGACGGAACAATAGTATGAATGAAGGCCAAAGTGTTAACCTACCCTTTGTCTTTCATGTCATAACTTAAATGTTATTTCAACTTAGGGGTTGCAGCCTACAGACCCTTACTCAGATGAGTAGGATGCTCTCACGAATAAGCATTACTCATGCGATTAAGGTTTTACAGCATCAGTCCTAGTTTTGTCATATGAGATCTGATTCAATAAAAGTTGTGGAAACCTAGTTCATTTCAAAAAAGGTGTTAAACATAGTTTCAGATACTACACGTTTCCACTGCCAATCTTTGTGGCCTTACTATTTTATTTTTTCTATTTTTTAAAAAAAGATTTCCCTCTTTTTCTTACTGTTGTGTGAAAGACCATTCTGACAGGGTAAAAAACCTGACAATACAAGGGAAACAGTGAAATTGACTATTAGCAAAGTGCTGTCAAATGCTCAAAGTAAACACGTTGAAAAAAAAGGAAATTATTTTTTTCTTTCCTCTCTTTCAGTTACAGTAATCTTAGGAGTGGCTTATAAAAATTATAGCTAGAGCAGTTTCAGATAAAAATGCTCCAGGGGTGAATGTTTTTGGAAAGTATGAGCAAAATCCGGACACATTTTTCAGTTAGGAACAAAACATTTCTATTTTAAAAGGTTTTAAGATTTGTTTTCTATGCAAGTATCATTCAAAAATATCTGAACAGTACAAGTGGTGTGTCCTCCTTCCTGAAAAATAGTAACTAGGGCCCTGGTCCTGCACAGACTTACCTGTGTTTATCTTTACACACTGTAGGCCAGATTCTGTATCACTAATGTCAGTGAGAGTTTTGACATTGACTTCAATAGGGGCAGGATGGGACCCTGTGAGCAATCCCACTGACTTTAACAAAATTACTCACAGTACATGAAGTTAAACACGTGCTGCATAAACTTTTGAATGACTGAAGCCCAGAAAGAAAAATAAAGGATAAGAAATGAAAAAAAGAAAACAAGCAAACAAAAGAGTGTGTGCATTGGAACATGAATAGTATAAAATATTCCCATTAAGTTTTCAGTGGATATTATTTATGTGACTATGGAATCACATAATAAATATAAATATCAATTTGAACTCCCTATGTGTGATTTTTCAGCTGCTATTTCTATGTGTAGTTACAAAACTGACTAAGTGCTTGGCTATGAAAATGGAAATACGCAGCACAAGCTGTTGAGTGAATAACGTTTTACTGCACCGATGAAGTGGGTTCTAGCCCACGAAAGCTTATGCCCAAATAAATTTGTTAGTCTCTAAGGTGCCACAAGGACTCCTGGTTGTTTTTGCTGATACAGACTCACACGGCTACCACTTTGAAACCTGTTCAGTGATTGTTAGTTATGTTGTTAAATGTAACTTTTATACACAATGGGCTCAAACCTGCCACCAGATATATACACATAGCTCCACTTGACTTCAATGAGAGTTACAGAAGGTGTATCTGAGGGCAATTTTGGTTCTGATGGGTGCAAATGGAGCATGTTGCAATTACTACATGACAATCAAGTTCTACATTTCCTCAGTTCGGAGTGTTTCAGGTCCCACAACTGCATGTGCAGGTGGACATCCCTGTGCCTGAAGGATCAAAGTCTAAAATGCTAATCTTAATGCAACATTAACATACATTTCTGCAGTCTGTACAATATATTCAGATAGCAGATTTAGGGTATATCTTCACTCCAGAGTTAACTTGAGTGACTGAGTTAACTCCTCTTAAATTAGCCAAGCTAGAGTGAGAGCAGTCACACTGCGAAATAACACTGGAGCTTCACAGAGGGGTTGTGTCAGCAGCTGATGAGTTGTGCTAACTTGAGCTATAGTCTAAACCCACTCAAGATGAAAGCACCAGCATACTTGGATTAACGATTTTATGTGGTTGGGATCTGAGTTAAGGGCAACACGCAGGTTAACTCTGCAGTGAAAACAAGTCCTTATTTTCCTTATTGAATCAGACACAAAGAGTATCTTATTATATCAAATCACTGTAATCTCCTGTCTAATGATGTTTTAGAGAATCAGTGGAGATAATTCTAATATCTCCAATGGTTTTCTTGTGATAATTTCTTCATTTTGAATTATTAAATTTAAATTATTAGATGTTCAAGTTTTTTTAACTCTATTTCTAACCTGACATTAGAAACCTAAGTCAATTATTTCAACACCGGAAATATCTAGCAACATTTTCCCTCAGAAGAGTGAGCTAATTATCTTCAGTAATTGCATATGCTAATGCCTATATGTGCAATGAATCTGCATAATGTATAAAACATCAGGAGTGATGGGTCATTGAATTTTACCATTAAATTCTTGAAGGTCTGATTTATTATAAATTGTTTGTCACATTTTCCTTTTGCAAACCCATTGTTATTAAGCAGACAAAGATCTTTCATTGTCAACTGCTGGAAGAGAATGTTTTGCTAAATCCATATTACTCAACCATCACATTTATACAAAACAGCTTCTGAAACTGATAATGGAGTTAAAAAGAGGATAAAACATGAAAAGTGCAAACATCACAAAATCTTCAAGAAAGTATTAAAATCAAGGCAAGAGAAAGCATCCACAGTAGTAATCGGAATGGTTTATGTCTGAACCTGAACTTAAGATCAACATATTTAACCTTTACTGAGCCATAAGAATGGTTATACTGGGTCAGACCAAAGATCCATCTAGCCCAGTATCCTGTCTTCCAACAGTGGCCAATGCCAGGTGCCCCAGAGGGAATGAACAGAACAGGTCATCATCAAGTGACGGTAGCCTTGAACTCTGAATTTTCCTATCTACAACAACAAATATTTAGTTTTCACTTAAACCACAAACCTACTTTTTCATTACTAGAAAATATTCTCTTACTGTATATATCATCTTTGTGTAGCCTGTCAAGTAGTTTGTTATAATACACCTTTGAAAAAAATAAAGTTGAAATTAGTATATGACAATAGACATTTTTTCCACATGATAAATGTGATACAATACATTAGAATCTATAGGGGATTTCAAAATCGACTTTACGTAAACTGAAAATTGAGTTTCTTGAAGGCCCCACACTGCATGTATTTATGCATTTGCTTAATTCTACTCATGTGAGTAGTCCTAGTGAAATCAGTGTGACTTCTCACATCAATATGCATAGTTTCAAGCATAAAATACTGATCAGTAGGCCCACTGATTTCAATGTGCTTTGAATTAGACCTTCAGCACCTAAAGCCCTGATTCAGAAAAAGCCCTTCAATACATTCTTAAATTCATCTCAATTCAGGGAAGCACATAAATCCGTGCTTAATTTTAAGCATGTGTTTGGTTGCTTTTCCGAATCAAAGATTAAGGCTTCAATTGAGCGTTCTGATTCGTGCAGGCAGACCCCTCCATCCACGGTGGAGCTGTACGGATGGCAATGGGGCTCTGCAGGATGACTGGGGCCTGTTTGCACAGATCAGTTGACAGGATTGAGGCGTAAGATTTAACCATTCTCTTTCTCCCCTTTCACATTTTATAAGAGGGGCAGACGGCTCTAGAGACCGTATGCTGTCCTGGTGCCCATGTCACTGATAACAACCATAGCGGCTGAGTGTGAAATAAAGATACATTTCATGTATCTTTTTTAAAACATTGCAATTTAAAACAAATCTGACAGCAGCTGCACCTTTCTCTGCCTACGTTTTAAAAGCGCATCACTGGCTCACGTGACATTTTAGAACATAATAAAAAAGAAAGCAAAATCCAGACAAATCCTGAAACCAAAAGGTCACGGCCAGGGCCCCCCGAAGTGCCAAGAGAGCCGTGCCGGCACGGGGCGCGGCGGCCGGGGGAGCGATGGCTCGCTGTGACGCCACGAGGCCTCGCCAGGCTGACGCGCCGTGATGTCACGGCAGAGCCCTGGGGAGAGGGGACGGGTTGGGATCATCTAGGCCGACCCCCTGCGGGACACCCGCCATGGGGCTTCCCTGAATTAACCCCCGCCTGCCCCCAGCAGATCTCGAGGGGAACACGATGCGCTCCCCCTCTACGGCAGCCTCACTGCAGAGCACACGTCAGGGCAGTGACGTCATGCCCGCATGACGTCAGGCCGGGGCGCCGTAGCTTCCCCCGAGGACTTAACAAGGCTTCGCCGAGGGCCCCCCCTGACGTCACTGTGACGTCATCGCGGTGACACGCTGCGTCGTCACGGCACGGCAACTTACTGATAGGTTGACGCTGGTGGGAGGCGGGTTTGGCCGGAGCCCCGGGAGCGCTCACGCCCCGACGGTGCAGAGAAGCCAACGGACTTTTCCGCCCCACGGCCAACCCGGAAGTGCCTCTGCGGCAGGGAGATGCGGCTTCCGGGTCAACGTGCCCTTCCGGGGTCAGCGCGGGGGCGCTCCTGTTTGTCCCGCAGTCTCTATGGCGCTGGTCCTCCAGCGGTGCGTGTCCGCGGAGGGCGTGAGGGGGCACGGCTGAGACGTGGCGGCAACTGTCACCGGCGGAGGCGGCCGGGCCGGGGCCTGCCCTGCAGGTGAGGGCCGGGGGAGCGAGGGGAGGCCCTGGGGGTGGGGAGTACCAGGGGGCAGGGGTGGGGAGTGCTGGGGGGGATCCTGGGGGGGACAGAGGGAGAGGGGTGCTGGGGGGAATCCTGGGGGGCAGGGGTGGGGGGTGCTGGGGGAGACCCTGGGGGAGCGGGGTGCTAGGGGGGGATCCTGGGGGGTAGGGGTGAGGAGTGCTGGGGGAGACCCTGGAAGAGGGGGTCAGGGTAGAGATGCTAGGGGGGATCTGGCGGAGGAGGGTTAGGGGGCCAGGGTGGGGTGTGTTAGGGAGGGCCGCGGGCAGGAGGCCATGTTTGAGAAGATATCTAACAGTGAACATGATCTCTCAAACTAGACCGTGTTCTAGTCAATTTGGGGTCGTGCGTTTTCATCTGGGTGGGTGAGTAACTGGGAGCATGAATGTTGAACCTTGGGAGGGAGCTGGAACGGTATTGCACTTGTCAAGCTTTTTACATCCCGTGTGTGATGGAGAACGTGTGTCTAAATCCCATGGGCAAGGGCTTGAGGCTGCATGTGTGTTTGTAAAATACCAGGAGCGTAGAAATGTCTCTGGGATATGTAGGTGGGGAATGACGAGACAAAGCGGGAAATGGGGTCATGCACCTAGGATTTTGGAAATGTCATCTTAAATTGACAGAATAGTGATTTGTCTCTTCTTTTTTACTAAGAGAAAGGTGACCAGTGCATTACAATGTAACAAGCTGATCTGATTGCGTCACCAGCGGACTTTCTGGGACTTATAAATAAATGTAAAATGGAATGGTACTGTTTTGATTTACCAGAGATATTTTAGTACACCAAAGTCGGGCTGTTTAAAGTCTGATTCCCATAGCAGCCATAAGCTGGCATCTTTTTGCACATATAACGAGCTTCATTACAATGTCTGGTGTTGCATTAACATCTAACTTTTAATTATTAACTGACTTGGAGTTAATGAAGTTATGACTGTTTGGCCCATCAATGATGGGGAAAAATCTCGTTTACAAGTGGTGGTTTATAGGTCCTTATCCAGCAATTGGATTTGTATGGCAGCTTGCGACTTCAGATGCAAGTTGCCAGTGACGATGAATTTCCAAATTGTTTGTACGCTTTAAAAAGCTCTGCTATAAATGCACAAAGCTCAAATAAACGTGCTGCAACTTACTCAACTGCCCAAGTTCTAATAGTGCTATTCTTTCATATTTGGCAAACGCTTTTCAAAAACAGTCCACCAAAGCCATCTGGGTTAGCGAGACAAGCCATAGATTAAATTGTCTGCACACCCTTTGGACTTGTAGTGCAGCACTTACAGATATTGCTCAGTTCCTTTCCTGCTGGGAGGGTATGGCTCTTAGATAGCGTGATCTCTCGTATTTGGAAGTTTAAAGTCCTGTCACACTGTTTCCTGTCAATCATGCGTAACTCAAACTGACTGAGAGAGCATTCTGCTTCCTTCCCCAGACCTGAGGAAGAGCTTGAAAGCTTGTCCCTTTCACCAACAGAAGCTAGTCCAATAAAAGATATTACCTCACCCACCTTGTTTCTCAAAACATTAATTGACATATAGAAGGCGAGTGGGAGCCTATATATGGGGAGAGGAAGAGAATAACAGTGTCTTCTCACTTAGCTATTCAAGAGAGCAGTGTAGTATTTTAAAGGAATGTCAAAAATATCCTAGTGGGTTGGTGTTATTCTTGGAATCACTTTATTTTCTAGGAGATGTTCTAGTAATGTCTGAAAAAGATGGCAGTGAAAGCCTGAAAGTAGGTGCCTCCCAGAAGGATGAGAATGGACAGACAGTGGAGGAAGCTGGGTCCGTTAAGAGCAGTGGTAGGGAACAGGATGAACCTGAACCTGTGGCTCTGACTCGGAAAAGACCCGAAGCCAAACCCTCCAGCAAGCCTATTGCTGCAGAAGAGCCAGTGGATCAAGCCCTGAAAGTATGTTTCTGTGCTGACTCTTTGAAAATGCAGATTGGTAAATTGCACAAACTTTGAACACAGCAGAATTCTGGTTGTGTTGGAAACAATGATGAAGCCCTTTCATGTAGAGTTGTGGCAGAATAGAGTTTTGCACTGAGAAATCCTGAAAATGAATTATTTTAAATGTCATTGGTTTGAATGGGTTTTGCATCAAACCTGGCAATTGGGTCTCTGACTTCTCCCCATGAGTGGCAGAAAGTCATGGCTTTATATTAGAACTGCACAGATAGGATAGCTAGGAACTGGCTTCTTCTCATGGGGGGTTAGATAAGGGTGGAACAAATGACATTAGAACACTGACTGTACTAGAAAGGGACAGGATGGGGGGGAATGAACTGTGAACCTTTAAACAAAAAAACCAAACAGATCTTCCTCTTTCCTACCTTCCTTCCTGCTTCCATACCCCAACCTTCTCACATTTTGCAACCCCATTTCTTTTTTCTTAAAGTAGAAAAGTTACTTCATGGTCAAATACAGATCGGATAGCTCACCATTAAACTTTGATATTGCACATCGTTCCTGAGAGAGGGTTGCATGCAGAAGAGGAAGGTTACAGGGTACCAACATTAACGCTTCTGCTATTCATTTCTGCTCTCCCTTTTTCTTCCTCCGTTTTTATCGCTAGTACAGTAGTGTCCAAATTCCTTCCCTCCCAACTCCGAAATAATGCCCCACCTAAACTCCATTTAGGGTTTAGGAAGAGATCTTCATTGGAAAGGGGAAAGAGTACCCCACATTTGCACGTTCTTCCGAAGCATCTGGTTCTGGCCACTGTCTGAGACAGGATGCTGGAGAAGATGGACCACGAGTCTGATACAGTGTAGCAATTGCCCTGTTCACTTATTCCGGCCTTGTTGCAGGAGGGTGAACTTAACCCTAACTGAGTAATTGTATGATACTTATTGAAGATCAAGGAGGTCACAGATTGATATGTAATATGTGTTCATGTTGGCTGAAGTTCAGTGTTGTTACTACTGTTAAAAAAGAGGTTCTCAAAGATACAGTTCAGAGATCAGTGAGTCACTTTGCTGTCTTTCATCTCTATTTCTCTAAATAAAGGTCTCTGATTCCACTGATGCATCTCAGACAGGATGGGGATACTGGGGGAGCTGGGGAAAGTCACTTCTCTCCACTGCCTCTGCCACAGTAGCTACAGTAGGTAAGAGCTGCTGGCATTTTGCTAATTCGATATAATTGGATCAGTTGATGATTACCTGTTCTGCTCATTCCCTCTGGGGCACCTGGCATTGGCCACTGTCAGAAGACAGGATACTGGGCTAGATGGACCTTTGGTCTGACCCAATATGGCCGTTCTTATATTAACTGTTTTTTGCAGTCTAAAATCAGGCTTCAGTTTTCACGAATGTCTCCAGCTTATGCTGTCTTGCTTGCTTCAAATTCAGAAGCAAGAGTTGGCAAAAATCAAGCACTCTGTTCAAAATACAGGGGAAAAAATCAAAAATCAAAACAAGAGGTAGGGAGAAATGGACAGCAGAATATCTTTCAGGCTTTTAAGGAGCTGGCACAAACAATGGCCAGCTGAGGTATTAAAAGACGTGACAAATTTCTGAGACTTTCCCATCAGTGGGATACAGCATAAAGCTGCAATGTCAGATGAATTCTTTATGCTGGTCAGTAAGCAAGCCAGACTGCAACTGCTTTTAGTATTGACTGTGTGGTTAGTGCTTATATATCTATATCTGTATCTCCAGTGGACAGTCCCTGGTGGTTAATCTTATTTCTGATTCAATCACTGCTTTCTTAGTGGCTAAAGTGAATGCAGTTCTGTTTTAGAGTTGAAGTAACAGCATTGCCTTCTCTAGGACAAGGTATTTCGAATGTCATCGAAAAAGCAGAGACGTCCTTTGGGATCCCCAGCCCTAGTGAAATCTCGTCAGAGGCCAAAGTTGTTACAGGAGGTCAGTTTTTATTATTAAAAATAAAAAATGTAATTTTTGAATTTCTCCAAGTGTGGTCTAAAAATAGCACCATCTTACACTCAACAGGTCTGCTCAGTGTGTACTGAGATTGACATCTGTTTACTACAATAATGTTTCAGTGCTTATTTCTGTTAGCTCTGCAGAGTCTGAGTTATAGCAGAGTGATCTTACCTCTTTCTGTCTCACGTGCTGTGGCCCTCTCTTCTGTCTGAGATTTGTGCATTTGCCCGCCTGAAACAGACGATATCTATTTACAATCTTAACTTTTTTGTTGTTTGCAAGTTTTGAAAAATAAAACACCTTTTCCCCCCTCTCCGATGCAGGAAGGCAGAGAGCTGAAGCAAGCATTACAGGCGGAGTTGGTAACAGCAGTTCCTCGCCCATCAGTGGAACTTTCGGAGTTTTATCCACTCTTTCTACAGCTGTTCAAAGCACAGTGAGTGGGCGGGTGGGGAGCCTGGGAAATAGGCTAACATCACTTATCTTTCCTTGCACTGAAGCCTCATACCAACAAACCTTGATTCTACTCTTTAATTTATCCGGCCTTTCTTTATGGCCTTCAGATCTGTAGCACAGAGTGCTCTGCTGTCTTTTCTGGTTCGCTGTAGAATAACGGGCTAAATTCAAGGGCAGATTCATTCCTGGAGTAACTCCACTAACTTCAGTGACGTTTCTAGGAATGACTCCAGTCCTCCTCTTCATAGTACTCGTGGGATTGACCCAAATTACTTGGGGTGGGGGGCGACTCGTCCTACTGACCATAGCTAGTTCCAGTGGGACTCTTTACCCTCAAGCGTAAAACTCTGGCGTGCAGGAGGCAGAGCTTTCCCGGTGACTGGCCCATGACTCTAGAAGAGAAGCCTCACAACCAGCAGAGCAAAATGCAAAGCCCACTTCTTCTTTTTGGTTTTCAGCAACCGTCTAATAACACACTTCAAAAACGGATAAATGAACATAGTCGAGCTTCTTCTGACTGAAGGGAAGAGAGAGAAGGATTTTTTTAATGTGTGCATTTTATAAATTCAGGGTGGCTGTTGCCACTGTGATGGTGGGCCGTATTCTCCAGCTGAGCACTCCCATTAAAACATTGGCTATTAGAGTCTCTTCCTTGTTTCTCATGCTCTTTACTGTATGGGGATCGGGGTGTCTAGCTTGGGCTTGAAACACGAGCATTTGGCCCACATCACTTCTGGTTTAAATCATATTTTAATAATACATTTAAACTAACTGTAGCTAGACAAACAGAAGTATTGTTTACATGCATTCTGTCAATTTGCAAATCTGCTTTCTAGGGGAAGAGTGTTATTAGTGGCGGTTTGGATGCCTTGGAATTCATTGGGAAGAAGACAATGGACGTGATAGCTGAAGGAGACCCTGGATTCAAGAAAACAAAGGGCTTAATGAACAGGAATTCCACACTATCACAGGTATTAGTTTCTCTCCAACCCTGACAGTGAGACTCTCAGCAGTTTCTCTCTCATTTTTTTTTCTTCCCTGTGTTTTCCTTTTAAGGAACCTTCAGTATTAGCATCAAGTGAACGCTTCCGAAAATTGTTCACTGGGGCCTTCGCCTCCCTTAGCCAATTTCTCTACGTGCTGATTTGACACCTCCGCTTTTCCTTTTCAGGTCTTGCGAGAGGCAAAGGAGAAAGAAGAGCAGCGGACAGCTACTGAGGTTACCATGGCTACCGAGAAGCAAGCCCATTATGGGTTACTCTTTGATGAGTTTCAGGGTCTTTCACATCTGGAAGCCTTGGAGATGCTTTCCAGAGAGAGTGATTCAAAGGTAATGGCTTTGAGCAGTTTCCTTTTTAGTTCCTATGTGCAGCTGAGGAGGGAAAAGGTTATATTTATGCACAAAAACCTGTTTAAAAAACATTATTATGGTTGCAATGTCAAGCACTCAAAATTTGGGAAATGCCAGAATTAAGGTTGCCGGTGCAACCTAATTTGGCCCCCTTGTGCGTATGCATTATGATATTGTCTGATTGTATGATCACACGTAATTAACTCCATCTCCTCGCCTCCTTTCACTCCCCCCCAGCTCACAGACTCGATGTGCTTGCCCAGCCAGTACCAGTTTTTGCACCCTTCAGACTCCTTGTCCCAAATTATTCTGTCTCCCCAGTTGCTCTGAGAGCACAGGAGAGACAGTCTTCCTCCTCTCAGTACACATGCCCAGATCCAGCACAGCCCAGAGCTGCAATTGCAGGGAAAGTCCTGCTCAGCCTTGGGGCTAGAGCATGCATTTGTAGACGTAATCTTCAGCTAGAATTGAGCTGCTAATATCTAAGAAGTCTCCAGTGAGCATTAGCAAAGTGCAATACGAAAATAAAGACTTATAATTGTCCAAATTGGGGTGGATTTTCACAGGGGTGGCAGGAGGCACACTCCAGACACAAGGGATACCCCTCCCCTCTGCCAAATTTCAAGTCTCCGCTCCAAAGAATTGGGGTGCGAGAGCATTTAGAAAAAAAAATTACCAGAAGTTAGTGAAGATGAGCAGAATGTATTTTCCCCTGGAATGGCTGAACCATTCTAGCTGAAATCTTCCCAGAAAAATGCATCTTGAGGCAGACAACTTGGCGTGGAAAACTTCAGCCCAAGTGGCTAAGCAACTGAAAACAGGGTCGTCTTATGGGAAGTGTTAGGCAATCTTAATAATAGTGCCACGAGCCTCATCTACATTATATACATAAAAAATAAGTCTGATGACTTGTACCTTCAGGCTGAGCAGAATGCATGGACAGGAAATGGAAAATGGTAAGCACCAAGCCAAGTACAGTATGTTGTAGTTTAGCCTGTAACAAAGGAGCCACTCTCTGGTTTTTGTTTTCTTTAAATATGAATTTTCCCCGGCTGTCATTTGTCCTCCGGCCAACAAGCTGATGCTTCTTCATTCGCAGCAAACGCCTGTGCTCAAGTAGTTAGCGGCAGGTACAGCTCTCTAGTGTCACCTCAACCCCTGATTCCATAAACCTGACGCTTGATTGGCTACTGGGTCACACGATCCCTTCCTTGGACACACAATTCTATTCTTCCTAGCTTTCCTGACGTGTGGGCAGTGTGATATTTTTCAATCTTGGTGATCCTACTAGGTTAACACAAATTGTATCCCAGCTATTCAATTTTTGGCAAATATCAACTGAAACATGAAAGATCGGGAAGCCCGGTAAAGAATCAATTACTCTTTAATGGGGACCTGGCAGAGAACTCTGTCCTAAAGGGACAGCTGCATTTGGTATCAGCATGTCATTAATACTGCTGCACTGTATCATTTCCATCTTGTTTCTCTTTCCTGTTGTATTTATGGCTCTTTTTATGGCTGTCTTGCTCTTAACTAGGTGAAGTCAGTTATAAATGCCCTCTCTGGAGAAGAGTTAGACATGTTAAAAATGGAGTTGGAGCAGCTCAAAGAAGCATTTTCATTAGCTGAGTTTTATGATGATGAAGAGGAAGAGAAGAAGGGTAAGTAAGGGGACTCGCGTTTACAGGCGGGGAGGCTGGTTTTTAAACTCCAATTTAAAACCAACTAGCCTTCCACAGCAATGTGTGAAAGGCCCAGGGTTGGTTATTATTCAGCTGGTCCCTTGATCCTCAACCTATCAGCAGTTGGGAGCACTGTTGAAAGGCAGTGCCCTTAATCTTTGTGAGGATAGGGAGAACTCCTCCTCTGCAGGGACCCATTGACAGTGCAGGAGTGGAACTGATAGGCTCATCCAGTGCACCTTGGGCAAAAGAAAGGAGGTCCCTCTGATGCAGGGTCTTATGAGAGAGAAGAAAATGAGGGGTGGGCTTGTGGTGGGGGAGTGAAGGGAGAGCTATGTAGGAAATCCCAAGAGATTTACTTCTTCCCAACCGCCTCGTTTCCTGGCGCTAAGGGAAACCTATTAGTAGCATTATCTGACTTCAAAAAAGGCACTTTTTTTGAAAGGTAAAAGTTTCTGCTAGTGTTGGCCACATAGTTTGGAGGGACATCGTAAAGCTCTGAAACAACCTGCACAGCAGGGAGCATCCAGTTGTTGAAGCTTTCACTAATTTGAACATAAACGACTTTCTTGTTTCGATTTTACCCAAGTGGCCAAGCAAAGAGGGCTGGCGCATTCAGTGTTAGGTACTCTAGAGCCTTATTTATAATTTTTATCTTTGTACATGATGGATCCAACAGGTTTTTTCCTGTTTTTGTCAACATCTGGCCCTGCATATATAATAGGAAAACCATTGGCTTTAAATGGCCTTAAAAATTCTCTAAGGTGCTGTGCAAGCAGATGTCTTCTGAAATGCAGAATTTATGTTGTTTGTGGTTGGATGCTAGCTGTAAAAATAGAATTACCTTGGCCGAAGGCTTGTTAGTCTTAGTGACATATCTATAGGCCCTCAAAACCAAATAATGCCCAATAAATTGCATTAAGAAAAAACAAGTTTGAGGAGTTTGAATCCTTTGTTGAATGTGATTTAAAGATGAATTAAATGCAGCCATTGGTTGTCAGCAGTTGCTGAACCCTTGAGGCATGTGGACAGAAACAAGCTGCATGGCTATACACTGTATATTTCCTGATTATCACTTATTTGTGTAGTACAGACTGTCTTACTCTTCCGAGTCTTGCCAGCCTGCTTTGTTTCCTTCAGGAGATGAAGATTTCACAAAGGAAATAACTGCGCTTTTCTTCGAACTGCACGTCTCAGCCAAGCCGGACAAATTAGCCACAGTGAGTTAGCTTTGTGTCCTCTGATGGCTGGTGGGTAAAACTCAGGAGACCAGGTCTTGAACTCCTGGTGAAGGTGTTAAAAGTATGAAGCACTGTTCTTCCCCCTGTGGATTACAAAATGGTAAGGAGCATTTAAATGTTGGAGCCCTTGATAAGATGAGCCCAGGTCTCATAAGAACGACCATACTGGGTCAGGCCAATGGTCCATCTAGTGTCCTGTCTTCTGACAGTGGCCAGCGAACAGAACTTGTAATGATCAAGTGATCCAACCCCTGTTGCCCATTCGCAACATCTGGCTTTAAAATCATCTCCTAGCTTTAAAAGTGTGCCTTCTTCAGAAGATTATATCTGTAACAATGGCCCGTTCCGTTGAAGCTACGGAAAAGGAGCAAGGGCTGTCTCTCTCTATATAGAAAATATATATATATAAAAAAATTACAAATGTTCCTTATATGTTGTTGAATAGTTCATAAATGTCTCCAGGGTTCTCAGTACTGGAATTATCAAGTATCTTATTTACAGTTCATGCACTGGGTTATTGCTGATCAGTTTCATGATCCCATAACCCAGTGTCTGAAATCCTCTTAAGGCAACTTCCTCTCCATCAGACCAGTTAATACATTTAGAGGAATGTCTCCTTTTCTTACCCTCTTACAATACCATTGTGGTCCACTGAGTGGCACTAACGTCTGTTGGAAACCCTAAAAAAAAACCTCTTGATCACAGTCATGCATTTAAAACAGCACATGTCGTGGTACGTCTTGTAAGAAAGAAAAACAAGTACCAAAAGTACGTGTGCACAGTAGCCAGTTCCCTTGTATTTCACTCGACCCACTGCAAAGTTCAGCAGGTAACTGACTTGCTTGTCCCATTTCTTTCCACCAGTGTAGGGGTAGTAACCATTTCTTACAAAGAGATCCTCTCTTCCACCTTCTACAGAGTGTGGGAGGATCTCATCCCAGTCATTAAGTGCCATGCTGATGTGTCTGTGCCTCTTATTACACAGGCAAGGAAATCTGCTCATGAATGGATTGAAAGACTCAACATGGAAACTCCAAAAGAGAGGAAAACGAGCAAAGAAAACCAACAGCTGGATTCAGGGGATGCTGACCGAGATGTTAAAACATCCGTAGAGGTAAGTGGGCAAAGGAGAGAGAGAAAATGAAATCTAACTGTGGAGGGGATGTCAATCTAGGATAATGTGCCAACTGGTTGCTTATGGCTTTCAACCCACAGTTAGAATCTTTACATTAACTCCTAGAGATGGGAGTGGGGGAGGGGGCAGAGTGGAGAGAAGTCTTATTTTAAAATAATAGCAAACCTATTAGAATGAGCTCTTTGTAACTCCTGCAGGATATACATGCATTTGCCATTAGAAGTCTGGCTCAACTGACAGCCTACTCCATTGAAATGTTCCACAAAACTGCAGCATTAGTCCTACATGGTCAGAAGCAAGAGGTGTCAGCCACAGGCCGAGCCAAAGCCCTTTCACAGTAAGTCCTTTGAATTATGCTATAGTACCTGGTTAGGTTTGCATCCTGCTGTTGGTGTAGGCATTGCTGTGTGGGTTCTCTCCACAGTTCTCAGCCAGCAGTTTACGCCTGGTTGCGTTTATGTTAGAAATTGCTAAGGGCAGTATTGTCTTCACTAAACAGAACTTGACTGTCTTTTGTATATACAGAAATTTCTTGACAGGAACACATGGAGAAAGGAAAATATTATGTGACTGTTTTCATGCTGCTCTGAGAAGTGAATTCTGCCCTAAACATGTGCTAGTTTAGTAGACAGGCATTTAAAAAGAAAAATACTGGAGCCCACAAAATACTCTGTTTAAAATAGTGTAAAGAGAGCTATTCTCTTTATATAAAATGATTATTCAGTATCGTTTTGCTAGCCTGTTGCTAGCACATTAGATGCCTAATATTAAAATCATCCTGAGCAGACTTATCTCCCTGATACTGATTATGACAAGCAGGGACTTGTTTTATTAAGAGGCAATTGGTGAGCATGTAAAAGAACTATTTCTCTTTTACAAACAAGACGACACTTCCTGCTTGTAACTAAAATAGCAAGTTAGTAATGTTCCCTTCAGACCAGGCATTCCTGTTCTCCAAAATCTGCTTCCAAGTTTCAGCTTTGTTCTCTTGTCAGATATTATTTAGAACTTCTCATTCTTTAGACGCTTTGTTGTTGGACCCTTAAACATTTATATCTATCTTTTTGTTTTTAAAGAAAAATGTACATTTGGAAGTGGGTGATTTTGTTTTACAGATGACAATGGCGAAGTAAAGGGGATTTTTTTTTAAAGTGCCTTTACTACATAATTTTCCTTTTTGCTTTTCCAGAATGACTATTGTGCTATGCAAAGAATTGTGTTCTCTATCTAAAGAGTTTACGACGTGCTTAACAACTGCAGGGGTAAGACCTACTTCTTGTTTAACAGGAATGAGATTGGTTGGTCCCGCTCAACCTCTTGCTGCATTCAAAACAGACTGTAGTGTCCCTGAAATGCCCTCATGCCCTTTTGTTCCACTGCACAGCTTCTCATGCTGTCGCATCTTCTGTATTTTTAAAATACACAGGTGTGTTATCGGTGAGCTTTGCTGCATCCTAATTCATTACGACCTTCAGATTTTTCACATTATCAGCCTGTAAAGCTAGTGGCTTTTCAGCCTGGATTGGAGTTCAAAGTGAACTTTACTGAAATAAAGTCATCCAGCTCAGACAACTCTTTCCATGCTTTGAGGAGACTAAGTAGCTAATGGCTGTGATGATGAAGGTGTAATTGTTGTAGGGTATTATGTACCCCTCTCACACACTGGTAGCCGAAATGGTGGGGAAATTCTGTTGTATGCGTCTATGGTTTGTGGCCCACCTCTCAGGGATACCTCCATGATCTTCTCCTCTGCAGAGACAGAGAGCTGTCTCTGAAAGGAACCCACCATTTGCATATATGCACAGTGCTCAACTCATACACAAGAGCTTTCCATTGTTCTAAGCCTAGTTCATACCAGCCTACAGTTGCTTTTGTTAGAAATATGTCACATTAGCTTGCTTTAATTCTCCCCAGTTCATCTGGAAGTTCAGTGCACATCATTGTATATAGAATGCTTTCGGTATATGCTGGGACTTGTGCAAGTCTATATTTTCATATTATGTCCACATCCTCAGCTGGTGTAAATCAGTGCAGCTTCACTGACGGTGAAAGGGCTATGCCGATTTCTAAAGTAGGTGAGGATCTGGCCCTGTGTTTTGCTGAAAGGAAATGCAATCAGATTGTCAAGTACTATGATCTGTCTCTAATCTTTCCAGGTCAAAGAGAAGGCAGATATGCTTAACCCATTAATCACTGGAGTGTTTTTGGAGGTCAGTTATGATACACTTACAGCTACTAATGTGGGAATATGGACAGACTAGTCAATCCCCACTTCATTATCCCTATTCATGTCCAGTTTTCTAAACCATGGCTTAAGACTGCTTCCCCAACTGGTAATTTACAAGTCTTAATAGATATCCGAGGGAGCATTGCTACTATAATCTGTGCCAGATGTGCAATGTATTTGGTAAAGTATAAACATGATCCCTTCAGAACAGTGTAGAGAAGATGCAGCAGAAGGGAATGTCATTTTGTAAAATGTCTGCCTTTCCTGTCAGCTAATTGGCAATTCTCCTTCAAACAACTCCCAAATTTCAGCCGGTAAACATAAGAGATTCTACAGATTTAGACAAAACAAATTAGCTTGTCTTTCTAAACATAGTAATTTAATAAGATTTTCAGTAGTAGTCTTGCCAAGAAAACTGGATTCTTGTGGATTTTTTTCAACATGCATCTTTCTTGCAGTTAAATAAGCAGTAACCATTTCTCAAATAGAAGCAAGATAGAATTGGAATATTTGCAAGCTACCAACAAACAAACAAACGTGCTAAAATATTAGAGACAGTCCTTACATGTTTAATCCTGGCCTATTAATGAGACTGAGCTCAAACTTTTCAGAGGGCTCATACTATTTTTTAATTTTTCTAGAGAGAACTTGTTCTAAATTGATGTGATGAAAAATCCATGTCCATTTGTGTGGATGGGGAAGGGTTACAGCTTTCAGATAGTCACATGGGGTGTGAAATGTTGCATTAGAAATTTCAAACTTCCCCACTGAAAGTTTAGTTCTGAATAGCTATCCCCATTTGCCTGGAGTACCTGAGTAGGGGTTCTGTTGCTTGAAAGCAAAGGATTTATTATTAGCAGAAATTGCTGGTTTCTGTTTTTGCAGCTCGCTTTTCCCTCAGGATCTGAAGCTGTTCACGCGTTCAGGGGTATCGCCTGAGTGCACAGCTGATATTCACAGTCCAGGAGGCTGTGGGGCTCTAGGAATTGCTAGAGCTGTGCAGGCCTGCCAATAGAAAAGTCATCCTGTTTTCTGTTAGAAACTCAGCCCAAGTCTGTTGAACGCCTGTAAAGCTTCCAACTGGACCATGGATGACTTGTGTAATTTGGCATGAAACTTTGTTTCAGTTGATGATAGATAGCTTTGCGTGTGAGCTTCCAACCTGAAATGTTTTGTGAACCCCTGTGGCTCAAAATGCTAGACTTTACCACAGCTCCAGCAATTACAGCAACGGGCTAGAAACGGCTGTGTTCAGATCTTGGACAAGTCACATCATTCAGTGTGTGACAATCCATATGCTTCCCAACTAAAGGGATTCCCAAAGTGGGTAACTTCTAACTGAGGGGGTTAGGAAGAAATGTTCCCTGTTGGTGTGTGCTTCCTTTCTACAGCAGAGTTTCTTATGCCTTCCCCTGGAGCAGCTGGTACTGAGTATTCTAGGGGCAGCATACTGAGCTAGGTGTATCAGCTCTGAAATGGTATGGCAATTCTTGAGAGTCAGTTGGCCACCTTTTGCCCAGTGGGATAAACTGGGGTTTAAAAAGTAGACTTAACTGAAAAGAAATTGCTGCATCTGAAAGTAGTAGCCTGATATTGCTTAGGTATATTAATAATCAGTGACCGTATAGTACACACACATCAAGCAGTAATGAAGACTGGTAGCATGAATGTCTCTAATGTAGTTTGTTTTGTTTTGTAGGCTTCAAACAGTGCTTCGTATATCCAAGATGCCTTCCAGCTACTCCTGCCTGTGCTACAGATCTCTCTTATCCAGACTCAAACTGAATTATCCCAGCAATGAATGAATCCTGCTAGTCAAGCAGAAACCACATCTGCCCACTTGATCATTCCCTTGCCTGGGAATGGGGTAGGGACAGAAAATAAACGAAGCTTTAATCACTGGTACCAGAGTGGTGATGACAAAATGCTGACTGGCCAGGTCTTAGCTGTACAATTTGTCAAGAGACATGAGGGATGCAGTTAGCATAGTCTAGGCATCTGGGCAATCTGGCAAGTTAAAAGTGCAGGTTGTTTCTTTGGGTAAGTCTACACTTAAACCACTACAGCAGCGCAGCTGTGCCTCTGTAGTACTTGAGTGTAGACACTACCTATGCTGACTGAAGGAGTTCTCCCATCAGTGTAGGTAATCCACCTCTCCAAGACGCAGTAGCCAGGTTGATGAAGAATTCTTCTGTCGACGTAGCTGTATCTCTCAGGGGTGTGGATTTTTCACACCCCTGAGAGACGTAGCTGTGCCGATGTAAATTCCCAGTGTAGACCAGTCCTTAGTTTTGGCTGACTGTTTATTACTCTTCTCTCTGCGCTCCCATAGCTGAGTATGTTAACAAGCTCTTTCAGGAACGACTATTTTGAGGAAGACTGAAGCTAAATCACTCTAGAGGAAAGACTAGGGTAACTGGTTAATGAGAATTTAACCAAACTCTCCAGCTGAGTTTGAATTCCGAGGCACATACTTCTGTTCCTGCTAAGTGTGTGCTGGGTACAAGATACGGCAAGGTTCAGGGTCTCAGGAATGACTTCAGCTTTGAAAGAACAGAATCTAAGGTCCCTGATGCTCTGTATATACGAAAGCGGCAGCTTGCTGAAGGGTGCTGGTCTCTTACGTACATACTGAGTTCTTGGATGGGGCTTGGGGATTTTGACGAAGACTGTTTCTCTCTTTCCTGCAAGATGTTTGCTTCAAGAAGACAAGGGTTGCACACAGGGTTACAGGTGGCCCCATTAGTGAGAAGAAAGCTGTAACAGGACTGATTTGTTCAGAACAACAGGGTGCGTGGCCCTGTAACAATAAATGAAAAGCAACCAGAAGGGATGTTCAAGTAACAGAGCAGAGAATTTCTCATTACCTTTCAGTACAACGTGACCCATCAGTCGCGGTCTGTGTGTACAGACGTTTGTCATGTACCACTGAAGGAGTTTCTTAGGCTACTGTATAAAAATGGTGCAGTGTACTACTTCCTGTCCCAGTAGGAGGCGATTAGAATACGTCCGAGAGGAAACAGCTTGACAATGGCACTGGGACGCCTCATCTGCTCCACAAGCTGCTGTTCCACACAGGGCATCTTTTCCTTTGTGCTTTAAAACTTCCTTATTTTGTTACTTTTTGCACTCTGTACCTTTTGAGCTTCTTCACTGGAAGGGAACAGCCTCTGCTGCACCGACAGGGAAAGAAAGAGGTGGCTTAAAATGGAATAAAAAGGGAGTCCCGGCAGCTAATGAGAGTAGACTGTCATACCTGCGTTCCTCAGTACTGGCTCATCAGTAATGATGAATCTCTAGTCCCAGCCTTAGCCGTCTCCAGGTTTTAGCAGGTCTTGCAAATCTCTACTCTTGGGTTCCATGCTTCTCTGTGCTCTGCTCCATTGATACAGCTTGTTGCCAAGCAGAGAGAGTTGGTTTTTACTATAGAAACACCTTTTGGCTAATAGCTTCTCCTATTTTGTATAGCTGGAAAAATCCTTGCTTCAGTTTTGGTTGAATGATCAAATCTGTGGATGGATTGACTTTTCTATTAATAAAACCATACATGGAATAAGTGTTCAGGCATTGCTCTGAGAATTGTACATCATATGTGGGGAGAGGTGTGGGGAAGGATCAAAGGGATGGGGAGGAAAGAACAACCCCCCCACCCCACCCCAACACACATACTCTATGCTCTTTTCTTTCACAGAGCTGTTCTATTCTGTATCGGTTCTTATACTGTGCTCATCACCATAATGTCTGAATACCTGTGAGTCATTTTTTCTGTGGCCAGAAGCTGAGTTAAATGCCAGTGCTGTTTCATGTATCATGAACTGGCAATAACTAATCTGGCAGAATTGCTCTGGGGTGCTAATGCAGTTGTGGCCCCACTCTTACCTTCCTTCTCCCCTGCCCTATGGCTGAGCAGTGTTTTTATATATGTATATAGGAGGGAGGCCAGAGCTCCATTCTCAATCTGGGGCGACAGTTGCCACAGATGCTATCAAGGAAAGTGCATTGATGCTTAAAGTATGCATTGTTTTCTCTTGAGCTCCCTGTCCCAGCCTCTGGCTGTGGTTTTGAGCCCCATATTTACCATGTCTTATATTGGTACTGGGGTGTTTTATCCCCCACAGTTAGCCAGAGAGAGACAGGCTCCTTGGTGGATGTAAATTCTCTGAGATGTGCTACTGTTTCAATGATGTAGACTTTATAAGCTCATGATTAAAAGGAAGTTTCTGCACTAACTGACTGAACACTATTTTTGTTCTGATGTCACTGTTCCAAAACCAAACACTGAGCCAGAATCTGGATTAGTACCATGAAGCTGACTGAGTAGTTCCTACAGCAATAAGAGAAATGCAAGAAGACAGTCCGAATTAGATGCGTCCGTCTTCACTTCCCTCTTCGACTGCTGCCGCTGGTCAGGTTCAGCTACCCCTGTTCACAGGGTATGGGATTTTAGCAAGTAGTCTGCATGTTTAGTGCCATTCTACACAGGCAAGCCCATTGAAAGCAAACGGGTGGCAGAATCAATCTCTGTAGAGAAGCAGGATTAGCTGAACTCGGGCTGCTAGTACCAGCGTAATTGGGTGTGCTCGTCTAAATCCAGGATGTCAAGTGGGAAATAAGCAATGATGGCAAACGAGGTATTTAGAAACCACCCTTGAGTCTTTGCAAAATGCCAACCTCACTGATCAAGCCGACAGGTTGAGAAATGCAGAAAATGATAGACGAGCAGAGCGCATGAAGGAGAATGGGTTTGGATGGGGCAGCAGCAGCTGCTTTTCAAATCCATAGGGGTCTAATCAGAAACACTCCAAACAGCTACATTTCTTTAAGGCGTAAGATGGCAGGACTGTCAGGCTAGATATTCAACAGGGATGCACTACAGTAACAAATAGCCAACGCTAGAATAGCCTCATTCTTGCTCATCCAAGTAGTCAATCAGGTTTACCAAAGAAAACAGCTATAGAGTCAATGCAAGTGTTTACTCAAAGGCTTTGTCTGGCTGCACTGTTTTCAAATGAATAGAGATCCTGTTACTCAGCCTTGGCTGGTGCCTGAACTTGATGAGAGCTGGAAGTAATGTGAGAGCTCCTGGTGCTGGTTCTTTGAGGAGGTGAGAGGCTTTCTAGACTGGATAAGGGTCAGATAAGATGGAGGCAATGTAGTGGGCAGTGGGAAAAATGTAATTATTTTCTTTCATTCAATGAGATTCTGTTACACGTTGACTTAGAAAACAGCCTTCCACCAGCTGCTGTGCTAATGTAAAAAAAAAGAAATAAAACAAATCTTTATTCGGTACTGGATGGAATTATGGATATTTCCTCCCAGGGCTTGCCTGGCTATATCCCTGCTTGTTAATTTTTTTATTATTAAGATATAAATGTGGATAATCAGAAAAATGTTTTATGCGTCTGGGGAGCGCAGTCAATTTCCAGCTGGCTTGCAAAGGAAGAAACAAAGGTCTGCTATCAGCACGTGGTGGCAGAAGGATTGCCAGCCAGGCGACCAAAACCTCGAGTGAGTAAGGAGCTGGGCTGTCCCGAGTGGCTCAGATAAACACTTAAATGGCATGACTCAGAACTAAAGAGAGAAGATGTGGGGGATAGTGACGCTGAAATCTTTCTCGAAGGTGCCCGAGTGCTAAATAAATCAGCTTGTCTACACAACATGGCAATGTCTTGGTTTTGGCAGTAGCTTTGTCCATGGAAGGATGGGCTCAAGAGTGAACAACTGTACCCTGTTTATGGACATGACTGAAAAGAGTCTCTCAGATCTAGATGGGAAAAGTTTTTGTTTGGAATAAATTTAGGTTTTTGGGAGGAAGGGTGTGTGGGAAAACTACCTTGAATCCACACACTGAAAGTTCCTTTTTTGAACTATCTGGCATCTTACTCTGCGTTAATTAAGCCCCTTTGGAAATGTTAACAGACTGCTTTAATCAACACATCCATGCTCCAACTTATCCTGGCAGAGGCTCAATGCAACAGACTGTAACAAGGTGCACCTGTCATTTGGGAGCTGGCCAGCTGTTTGTACACATCTCCCATGGCACTGCTCCAAGTCAACAATCTCAGTCTCCCAGCAGGAAAGGTGGGTAGTTGCATGCATGCTAATAGCCAAACTAGACATTCCACCTGGCTGAAATGTCTCAAAACTAACTTTATAGGCAATATTTCACTCCCGCTAGGGATAAGTACTTTGGCTGCATGGCTACCTTCCCCTCCTGCTTTGCTTGGTCTTCAATGCTCTGTTAAGTTCAGCACACATGAAAGTGATGAGTATCACGCTGAGCAGAGTCACGCATAGTTCAACCCCGGGAGCAAACCAACAAGAGTGTTTCAGCCAACTGTACTGCTACAGTCTGGCCTAGATAGAGAGGCGGCCTCTGACATAGTCAGCTCGTGGGCCTTTTACAGCTTCCTGGGCAATCACTGTCACATTAAATTATATCCAGATGATGTGAGAAATGTGATGGGCTCACGTTGACCCACGCGGTTTAAACAGCGGCGACTGATATTCTGCGCTAGCTGAAGCTTCTGAGTGGACATCAAGCGTAACCCCAAGTTGAACAGTTTTAGATTTAATTGGGTATGGGTCCTGCTTTTGAGCAGGGGGTTGGACTAGATGACCTCCTGAGGTCCCTTCCAACCCTGATATTCTATGATTCTAGAGTCCAGCCTGGAGCCGGCAAAGGTATGGATCACCATGATGAGGTCACCAGCAGAAAGGAAAAGCTGCGATCTCTACGTCAGAAGGCATGTTAAGCCACTGCTGTCACCTGAGAATTGCAACAAATGGGGTTGGATCCCGTTGGATGCTGAGATTGCAGACTGAGTCCCCAGGCTCTCTTCTTTCAGCTGAGAAATTTTAGGTGCACCTCAAACCCACCAACTCCATGCCATAAATGCTCACAGCAGATCACATAATTTCCCTGTAGCCTTCTTTGTCCTCTTCTAGAGATTCAAGTTTGTTGTGCTTACAACACTTCAAGCTCCCTGGGCCCAGGTCTTGGATTCAAGCCTGGTCTTGTGCCATAGCAGGATGGGCTTTTTTATATTTCATCTTTAAACTGTACTGATAGTTATAAGAGATGCTCCGGGTCAATGGCCAGGAATAACAACATGCAAAGCAGAGTTAATTACATTATAGCAATGCGTTCTTTACGATGCCTTCTAGAGTGATTCCTGCTGAGCGGTAAGCGTTTGAAGGCGTTTGCCTGAAGGGAGAACAGTTCAATTCCGGAGGCATATCTGGTGTAGCTGGGCTTGATTATTAGGAGAATAAACTTTGCAAATTAGAGCTGAGCTCTGCAGAGGCAGCCCAGCTAGCCAGCTCGGGGAATCTCCTCAGCAGAAAGGCAATGCCCATGAAGTTAAAGGCCAGCTGAATGGCTCCACTCTGACCACCCCATGTAGGGACATGCTGGAGACGGATTGGGCTAGAGTGCAATGTGATCTGGCTATAGGGTGTCCTGCTGCCTGCAGAATCCAGGAGGCACAAGGACATGCCCTTGCTGCCTGTACTCAACTCATAACTGGGGCCACAACTTGCAATGAATTATTTACTTTGTGAACTGAATCCTGTGTGTGTGAATTCTAGGGCAGCAGTGGGGGCAAAGAAACCTAATGTTTTAAGACTGAGCTTGATAAATTTATAGAGGGGATGGTATGATGAGATTGACTACAATGGCTTATGGCCCATCCGCGACTGCTATTAGCAAATATCTCCAATAGCTGGAGTTGTGACCCTTGACGGGAGGGCTCTGAGTCACTACAGAGAATTCTTTCCCATGTGTCTGTCTGGTGGGTCTTGCCTACATACTCAGGGTCCAACTGATCACCATATCTGGAGTCAGGAAGGAATTTTCTCCTAGGTCAGATTGGCAGAGTCTCTGGTGTTTTTTGCCTTCCTCTGCAGTGTGGGGCATGGGTCATTTGCTTGTTTGAACTAGATTAAATGGTGGATTTTCTGTAACTTGAAGTCTTTAAATCAAGCCAGAGGTTATAGGCCTATGACAGGAGTGGGTGGGCGAGGTTCTGTGGCCTGCGATGTGCGGGAGGTCAGACTAGATGATCATGATTGTCCCTTCTGGCCTTAAAGTCTATGAGTCTATGAATTTTCCCCAACCAATTTTACTTATTCAAAGTGGCAAAGGTAATTCCCACTTCCGGGGGTGCTGCAAGGCAGAATTCATTAATTCTTGTAAAGGGCTTTGCAGTTCCACAGCCCTTAAAGTATTGTCACCGTTCTTCCATTGTATCAATATTGTTGGAAATGAGGACGTTGCTTGGAAGAGGAAGAGCAGGGAGGAGCATATCCAGGCAATGTTTAGAACTAATACTTTAAGATTATTGGCTAACTACTGTCGTTAGGTATTTAGCTAGTTAGAACTTGGAATGAAAGATTGCGGCAGGGGCAGACATTAGAGGGTGCCGTACATGAAAGGGAACTGTCCACTCTAAGATATTCATCTGTCTGTCATAGTGTTTCATGTGTCAAGTACACAGCCTGATTGCATATGTGAGAGCGAATATGACATAAGTAGGAGAGAGAGATTCCTGTCTTAATGGCTCTTCAGGCATCCTGGTTGACCAGCTGCTGCCATAGCATTCCAAGCCAGGGGGTTTGGATTGAGTCTTGGAAGCCTGTTCCTGCTTCCTCTGAAGTCAATGGCTCAGCTCCCATTGTGCTCAGCATGGCAGGATCAAACACTCAATGTCCAGGTGGTGGGTGTTTTCCAACCAACCAACATAGCAGCCGTGACCTGCCTAGCGTGGGTCAGAAGTTCTTGAATGAGTCAGTGTAAGGCAGGCAGACAGGTTACTGCGCACCTGGGCTGGGTCACCTGTGTTTCCTGGGATACTGTGATGCCAGAAGAGGATGGTGGAACCAGTTTTTCTGCTCTGGCAGTGGAACTGGGGAGGAGACAGTACAAAATGACAAGACAGGAACTGCAGAGCTACGGCTACCAACTGAAAACTTGGGAGGCCACTTGCCTTTTCCCCCGCCAGGTAAGGCCACTTTCTTCTCCTCCTTGGTGCCTTTCTGGGGATTTACAGCCTGGCTTTGTTACTCTGAGCAGTGGGGAAATGCGGGGTGTGATTTTGTTTGATTTCAGGCACTGAGACACACACATTTTTGCTTTGAATCCTGTTCTGCAGTACTTCTGGAGTGGGGAAATTGCTGTTCAGAAAGCAGTCCACCTGGACAAGGCTATAGCAGGGGTGGCTGTTACCATTTGTAAATTCTTTGTGCCCACAGGAAATAAGTAAATACAAATTAACATATTTGCATAGGCTTTATGAATATGCAGCTTTGTTTTATTTGGTCTATAGGGCATTCTGGTTTGACCTTTTACTTTGGTTCATTCAGCCTCAAGGCAAAACTGCAGTTTGCCAATTACATGTTTATTGTCGCTGTCAGCTCACCCACTGTATAATCCAATAGTCTGGCGATGTGACTGCAGCCTTTTTAAAAATTATTTTGCAGAAAGTGGGGTGAGCATGAGAATGAGTGCAGGCTAGAACTGGCCAAACCAGATCTGGCTTTGGAAATGGATTAGAATATCTATTGCTTTCATCTCAGCCTCCACCCACACAGTCAAATGCATTGTAATCAAGCATTAAAGCAAACAAGCCTGGCTAAATGCGTGACACTGAGATTGGATCACCTTCGCCAGGGCGAGGGGGGTATGCCCTGCTCCTGGAGATCTAGCAGGACTGACTTTTCCCAAGCGAGTGGAGACTTGTGAGATGCGATATGGGTGACTCCCAGTTGTACATGCTCAGCACGGCAGCTTTTGGCCTTTCCTATTTGCTCACCAATAGCGGTTTCCATTCTCTGCTGATACAGATATGCAGCTGTATGGGAGGTTTGAGAAAGGGAGGACTCTGTGACTGGCTCAGTCTGCTCGCTGCACCCACTTCCCAGGCAACGGATATGACCGTAACTCACTGCGAGTGACACTGTAATGCTGTAGCCCTTGGGGAGCTCCAAACAACTAGTCTCACCTTAACACTCAGAGACTCGTTGATTTTAAGGCCAGAAGGGACGGTTGTGATCACCTAGTCTGACATCCTGCATAACACGGGCCAGAGAACCTCCCCCGAGTGCTAATTCCTGCGTTAAGTCCATGACTGCTGGCTGTGCTGGAGTAGATCTTTTAAAAGGCCATCCAGACGTGATTTAAAGACTGTCAGTGATGGAGAATCTGCCACAGCCCTAATTTACGCTCATTTTTGAAACAGGAATGGTCTCATTAAGAGGGTTTCCATTAACCCAGGAAACTAACCATTCTGGAAGGTGTTAAAACATTCAGCGCCCATCCTTAACCTGCAGGTTAAAGGAAAGCAGAAAGGTGAGTGTTGGGGACCCAGAAACAGTCGTTTTAACGCTGCAAAGCTCAGATCAATCCTGAAAAACACATAGTATTGTAACTTCTCTCTCTATCCCTATCCTTGTCTGGGGATGTCTCTTTTCTAGGTGTTCTGAATCAACGTGCGAGAGCCAGGTAGCTGCTGCAGAATGTCTTCAATCTTAAAGAGTGAGTGGCTTTGCATCCGGGCAGGGAAACCACAGCAGAATTGAGTCGTGAGCATGATGTGGGATAAAGGGGTGTTGTGGAAGCGAACTCTCCCTCCATCCTACCTGCTTCAGGCCCACAGGGCCATCAATCCTCACAATCACACATCGCAAGTCACTTGTCACATTGCTAACTGCACGTAACCCTATGCGGTAGTCACTAAAGGGAGCAGCTAGGCGTCTGTCTGAAATCTCATTTGGGAAGACCCACTGCCAGTTCCTCTTTCCACCCCCACAAGCTCTCCCCTTGTCCTGCTCCTGGAAATATTCCACTCTGCTCCCTGTTGCCCAAGCTTGGAACATTTCACCTACATCTCTACTCTCATGTTGGCCTCCCATCCCTATGCTCTTCCCAACCCTCTTACCATAGAATTATGTGGGGACGGCGAGAGGAACATCTTGCTCCTCTGAGAGTTTACGCACTGCAGAGGGGATCATGTTCTGGTGCAAATGGAGGTGTTGCAGAAGGAGCTTAAGTGCTAGGCATTGACCTCTGTGGTAAATGGCTACAAGACTCAGTTCTCTGCTTGCCCTCTCCCTCCTTTGCAAATACACTAGGTGGAAAAGGGGAGGGTGTGCACAGACAACGGGCGTGTGTGAGGTTGTTGGGATGGTGGGGTGCAGGGCTCACTTCCAGTTTATGTCTTATGGTCCTCAAAGCTCATGCTTCCGGGTTTCAGACAGCCATCGCAGTGGTCAGGAAGGGATTTTTTTTAAACCTCTTAGCGTATTCTGGAAGGGTTGTTTTTGGGTTTTTAAAATCTTTTTCCTCTGAAGCAGCAGGAAGATGGAGATGGGACATTGGTAAGGTGGACCAAGGATCTAAGATGGTACCAGGCATTCTGTCTCTCAGGAGCTTGGCTGGCTGGTTCTTGCTCACATGCCCAGGGTTCTAACTGATCGCCCCACGTGTGGGCTCGGGAAGGAATTTTCCCCCAGGTCAGATTGTCAGTAACTTTGGAGGATTTTCACCTTGCTCTGCAGCGTGTAGATGCGGGTCACTTGCCAGGATTATCTGCGTTTATCTCACTTAATCATTTCCCTGCCATTGCAGAGGCCTTGAGCACTGGTGCACCTCGGTCCCTCCTGTTCTCTGACTGTGGCATGCCATAGCCTCGTCTCCTGCTAGCTGTAATACTATGGCCTCATTCTGGTTGTTGGGTTTAGTGTGAGGGTGGTGGGTCATGTTGGTGGCCTGTGCTATACTGATCAACTCGATGCATTCTTAAACACAGTCCCTCCCTCATGGAAATGAGGCCCATGTCCCCTCTTGACCTTTGCTGAGCTGGAATCACATGGAAGCCATGCACCGTGTTGTCAGTGGTGCAGGATTGGGGGTCCCTTGCGCTCCTTGTCCTTTCACTCCTTTCTGCCTTGTGCTTCGATGTGTAACACTTGGCACACAGGCTGCGTGGGATGAGCTCCCTCTGGAGCTGGTGGGGAGTGCCAACTGACCTGTCCACTCATTCTCCTCCTCAGTGTTCGGAAGAGAAGACCAGAAGGATCAGGGAAAAGAGAAGGAGAAAGACAAGAAGGAAGAGAAGGAGAAAGACAAGAAAGAGGGAGACAAGAAAGACAAGAAAAAGAAGAAGAAGGAGAAAAAGGTGAGGAACTAGTGGAGAATTCCCACATTCCGTGTGTTGTCTGGGCATTTTGGATTCCCCATTGGAGCAGCGTGACTAAAGCTGCCATTTCAGTACCTCAGAAACCTTAAGGAATAACAAATTCCAACCTCTTTTTGACTCAATTTCAGAAAGTTTTCCTCCCCCAGCATCGCCTCCAAACACAGCCGAGTGCCATTGTGTGTTGGATCCGTGCGTGACAGAGGTTCCGGCAGCTCAGCGCTCAGGCGGGTTGCACATCCCTGGTGCTCTTTGGGCAATTGGATGCTGTGATAGTCCCGGGTGCAATTCTGTGAGCAGACTGCGTGGTCCTAAGAGTCCCTTTGGGCCTTATATGCTCTGAATCTCTGTGCGTGTTTGATTTCCCACCTCCTAGGATGGTGGCACTGTGTGTGTTACAGCTAGTAATGAGCATGAAACCCATTTCTCAGGGCAGGGAGGGGAGAGTCAGACAGGCTGTCTGATCGTTGCCCCGTCTCCTCCCTGCCGAGGCGCTCACCGGGAACAGAGGAAGTGAGAGTTAACATTGGCCTTTGTTGTAAAAGCAACAAAACAAAATGCAAGTGATCACTCTTCCTCCACCCAACCTGCCAGCAGGAGATGAGCCAGGATGCCTCTGGATAGACACGGACCCCGGCTGGGAAGCTCTGTTCCGTGTGCAGTGGTGCTATCAGCAGGGTAGTCATGAACCCTTTCTTCTGTGCCCCTTAGGGAGAGGGAGATGAAGATGATAGCGGCAGCAGCAGCAGCTCCGACAGTGATTCTGACGAGGTAACTAGGAACTGATCAGTGCCTGGCAGATCTACTGGGCGGGTTTTCCCCTTGCTTTAGATTAGAATGTCCTTGTCCGGCCTGGGTCTGGTCACTGCTGTGGCAGTGTAAATTCCTTCCTTTCCTCCTCGCTCCTTCTGAGAGACAAGCATCTGCTGGCCCCTGCCAGTCTAGGGAAGAAGGGACGAAATCACATGGGCGCACCGTAAGGAAGCCCTGCGGCTACCATGTTAGTGCTACAGCTGGAGTTTGCAGGTGGTTCTGGGGACTCTTCTTCTTCCCTTTCCTGGAGGTGCGGTGTGCATGGGGTGGCCACCAAAGAGCATGAGAAGAGTTCAGAGTGGGGCGACTTTGAAAATACCCCCATGGGTAAGTCAGATCTGCTATGGGAGCTGCTGAGAATCAGCTCAGAGCACAAGCCTAGAGCTTGCAAGCCCCATTCTGCCTCTGGTACCCAGTGTGAATGCTCACAACACATCCGCAATCTCAGAATCTTGTGAGCCGCTGGAAAAGAGGCTCCACCCCTGAGGTTTTCTGACTGGCTGCCAGATCCACTTCCCCCACAATGCACCAGACAGTCTCCTGAATTGTGTAATGTTTTTGCTCTTAGAAGTCCTGGCGAATGTCATCCCCCAAAGCCTCCGGTTATAAAGGATGCCTGAATGACAGCTAGCCATGTCATGTAAACAGCTATCCACTGGTCTCAGAGGCCCATCCAACCTCACAGGAAACCTTGTGGTCTGGGTAACACAGCCATCAAAAGATGATGTGCCACAATCACTCTTCCCGTCATAACTGCAGTGGGCTCAGTTCTGCCATTGGACTCATCCATGCTACTCCCATCGAAGTTCTGTGTCCATGGGAGCCGTGTGTCTGTATCAGGGTAAAATTTGGCTAGTGGGTGATGCAAGCCCATTGGTTCTAGCTGAGGATCACTGTAGTTCTGTGTTTATCCATCCAGATGCCATGAGAGTGAGCAAGAGAGAGGGACGAGGAAACACACATCAGCTGCCCAGGCTCTGACACACCCCCTTGTTTCTCTTTGACTGATCCCCTAGGGTCACCATGGTGACAAGAAGGAAAAGGAGAAGGATAAAGAATGACTTCTGAGGCACCAATGGAGGCCACATTTGTGTTTCCTGCCTTCGCCCAGGTGCTGGGTAGAGTGAAGGAGAAGGGGATCAATCGTGAAAAGATGTACCTGGTGCTGAGGTTTTTTCATCCAAATAAAGTTGTCTGAGTACTAAAAAGACAGACTCTGTTTATTGACCAGTCAAACTCCCCCCTTTCCCCCCATCAGTATTGAGCTGTCACTTCCCTCCTTTTACTAATAATTACCTGGTAACATTTTCAAAGCTATATACCAATATTGGAGCAAATTTAATGCGGGCCATTGGAATGGGCACTGGACCGGGAGCCAGGTGATCTGTGTTCTGTCCCTGGCTCTGACCTACTGTGTCTCCTTGGTCATGTCACCTCACCTCCCTGAGCCTCTGGTTCCCCTCCCACTCTTTGTCTGCTTGATAGCTCTTCAGGGCTGGGATTGGCTATTGCTATGTGAATGTATAGCACCTTGCACAATGGGGCCCTGATTTCAGCCAGGACCTCTACCATAATACAAATAATAATGGTGTAAGCTCCATCAGAGCTAAGCGGAGGTATCACCAATTACACCACAACTGAATTTAGCCTATGGACTTCTGCAGCGCAGACTTTCCCTGGGTTCCTATGCAGATGGCGTGACTGTGCACTGTCCCTGAAAGGTTATGGGATGGGTGAATATTGTTATCCCCAATTTATAGCTGGATGCTCTCCTGAGACCAAGGATGGATCCAGGGATTCACCCAAGCGATCCTGCTGCCCAGTCCTGTGCTTAGTCCACTGGATTAGGCAGCCTTTGGCTTTGCATGTGTTCCCTTTCCCTCTGTTCAGTTACTGGTTCCTCCCCCTTCTGGCACTCACACAGCTCCTAAGGAAACAATCAGCATGGGCAGCTCCTTTGGAAATCCAGACCTCATGGTCTGTGATGGATCTGTCAGTCAGAGATGCCCAAACACAAGCCAGATATTTCAAAAGGGCTCAGAACATTCAGGGCTACCAGGCTGTTAAAACCAAATCTGCTTTGAAATTTGCTCTTTTATGTTAAAGTGAAAAACGGGTAAGTTTTGAATGTTTTGCTCTTTGAAAACTTAAACATGGCCTCAGCACTGAGGTGATTAACCGGCTTCTAGGGCACTCTTCAGCCCACGGTGACGCACACAGCTGACTTACGCCGCCCTGCATCTGACAGTGACTGATTTATTTATTAACCAATTTATTTGAGCGTGAGCTTTCGTGAGCTACACTATATTGCATCCGATGAAGTGAGCTGTAGCTCACGAAAGCTCATGCTCAAATAAATTGGTTAGTCTCTAAGGTGCCACAAGTCCTCCTTTTCTTTTTGCGAATACAGACTAACACGGCTGTTACTCTGAAACCTGATTTATTTATGGCAATCGAGCCATATTCTTATAACCACCATCCAAGCTGAGGGAGCTGCCCTTAAAAATGAGGCATCACCTCCATCTACTGGTGAAATGGGTTTCTTGCAGCTAATCTAAATGTTCCATAACCATTACCCCACATCTGTTTTATAAGGCTTCCCTGGCAAACCACATGGCCGCACCGTCTCTGAGAGACCATGAAAAACCATTAAAGATTACAAGCAGGCTGCTGGCACTTGTTTTTTCTGTGCTCTAATTGTTTACATTTTGAGAGTGTATCTCCACGCAGTTAGTAAATTATATATGTATGTACAGTCGTTAGTACATTACATAAATACTGTATAATTAATATGTGGTATGAAACACTGCAAAGATCTTACCTAACACACCACAGACCATTTCAAATGGGGAACGCTGCCACAGATCTCTCCTGGCTTTGTAATTTGGCAGCTGGCACGTTTAAACACCACCACCAGCAGGAGCAGCCTGAGCTAGGCTCCTTGCCCACCCAGGCAACCCCTCTATATTAAGGCCCCGATGCTACAAAGTCTTATGCACCTGCTTAGCTGACACTGCACTGACTACAGGCTTGTCTACCTGGGGAAACTGACCGGAAAGCTAACCCCGAATAGCCACTGCACTTTAACTTCACAACCTACCTTACTTCCTTGTGTCGACAAGCCCCTACTTTAGGGCTGGCCACAGCCCTTTATAGGTGATCGGCATCCAGGAGCAGCTGGGGTGTCAAATGCTCCAGATCCCCTCCTTCCCCCACCTCCATTCCCAGTACAGCCTATACTGAGGGGTTTCAGTGTAGCATCATTGGGCCATCGCCATGCCAGGCAGGGATATTTTCCACGAGGAGTCTTTCTGGTGTTGTAAAGAGGCCTTCGAGTAAGAGAACTGGGCCCTAGGTTTTAATCCCGATTGCAGTTTTTAGACTGTAAAGTCTTAAGGGAAGAGATCATATTTTTGTCATGTATTTGTATAGCTGCTAGCACAATGGGGGGGGGGCGGATTCATTATCGGTGTCCATCGGCACGACTGCAATACAAATAAATAGTACTAATAATCATGAACTGAAGAAATATCATTTGTACAAAATAAAGCGAGTGCTCTCCAAATTTGGACGATCGGTTTGCTTGTTTTACAATGAAAAGTATATTTTACATTGACTTTGCTCAGCAAAAGGGGAAAAAAGGATTTGTTGCTAAAATGGATTTCAGACAAACAAGTGTTTAAAAGCCAGGATCACTGAGGTTTTATTTAAACCAAAGAACACAACTGCAAATATTGTTTCCATGTAACATATACAGCAGGCTCTGAAACAGTCACAACAAACAGCAGAAAATAAGTTATGAAATACTGCACTAATTATAGACTTTGGTGAAAAAAATTATAGAACGGGGGCAGGGGGACGAAAAGGGGGAGGAGCTGAATTGCTTTCTCAATGCACTGCAAGCAGTTGTGGTTTACTAAGCAAACACCAAATCGAAACTTTGTGCTTTAGTTATATTTAGGCTTGGATGGATTCGATTTCTAATTGGTAAATGTCAATTTCACCATACACACACAAGGGGATGGAAAAATATTTCCACTGATGATAATCAAAAGATATGGAGAGGCAAAGTAAATGAAATGCTGCTTGAGAATGTAGTGTTTGATTTAAAGATACGTACTGTGTATAGTTTTGACGTGTGATGCTGACAATTTGTGGTTTACTGGTTATAAAAGCTTTTAACGTTCCGACCTGCAGCAGCTACTGTCAGTGAATGATTATTGTATGCCCCCACCCCCACTGTCTGATCCTTCCCTAATTCTGCACAACTGTGAACATGTAGATCACTACAAATAAAAACAAACGCTGAAAAATAAACTGATGTTAGTTGTCAATATTATTACGAAAACGACCGCCTTCTCCCAAGCCCAGTTCGATTAACATGGAGCCCTTAATAGAAAAGACCGTTACTCAGCATTCTCTGCTTCCACTTCAGCTTTCACTTCTAACGCGCAGGACACGTGGCAGAGATTTGGCCTAAAGCCAAATATTTGATACATCAGAGCATTTTACGCTCAGCTGAGGCCTTACTCAAGGTCAATGGGCTTCTGCGGGCAATACTTTCTGTGCAGCCTACAAAATTAAGGGCTTCCGTGTGCCTTTGCTTCACGCAACCACGAGGATTCCCCTTCACCACTGAGTAGCTGGTGATGGATTCTCCAGAATTACAGACCCTTTGTTCCAGAGAGTGCAGGGGCTGTTCCTCTGCTAAGTCCCTCTGGGGACAACTGGGTGGGGAGTGGGCGGCAGGTTGCGGTACAGCTCTGCACCCCCATCTCCCAGCCAGCAGCGGGTCCAGCTGCAAATTATTCTCCCTTGCCACACTGTGCAACATGGGTAAGGATTGAGGAGGCAGAGTCCCCCTTCCCCACGGGGCTGTGTAGCTTCTCCGCCCTCCCCTCCCCTTTATTCCAGCTGTGCCTAAATTCTGCCAAAATCCATGGTTACATGTGTACGAACATCACTGTTGTGGGGAAAGCAGGACCGGGCGCTTAATTTGTTTTGCTTTGACAAACCCAGCACATTTCAAAGGCCTCTCATGCTCGGCACGCTATATAATTTCTATGACTAAAGGCTTTTGCTGTGGCAAGCAGTGTAAGGTTTCCTGGCGCGAGGCACTGTCGTGTGAGTGATGACTTTCTCCAGGCACCATTTCTGTACATGTTGGTCTTCCTCAGGAGCTGAACCTGTCCCAAATCCCCAGCATCCCGATGGCCTTGGCTAGATCATGGCACGTACAGAATACCGTCCACATTGTATTACCATTCATTATTTGCACCTCGGAGCCTCTGTTACAGACCAGGCCCCCATTGTGGTGGGTGCTGTACAGACACAGCATGTGCAGCCCAGATGATCATTGCACAAGGAAGGCGCAAAATCATTCACTAGCTTTGCTCTCATTCAGAAAAAGTCTCTACGGGTAATGACAGATTCCCTCTCCCCACATAGTCCAAGGATTATTGTGGAAGGAGCCAGTGCCATTATTTCCATGGCCCTGGATTATTGGGGCATGACTCATGCAATTGGTTCAAATCAGAATGATTCCTTCAGTGATTTGCAAACAAGAGGGATAATATTTAAAATTAATTGACGTCCCAGTTCACCCAGGATTCTGGCTGAAGCCAATGGAATTTAAACACTTGCTTAAGTTAACAATGCACATCAGAGTTTTGCTGGATAAAGAGACTTAACTGAACTGGGGCCTGAATATGCAAAAACCAGGCAAAACGTTTTGCTCTTGCAAAACCTCACTTGCCTCGATGATTTTGTGAATGGTACTGAGTCTTGCATGTAGTTTTGTACTATCAGACTGCAGTGTGTGGATAGCTCAGCTAATGCCCTGTAGATCTCTGATCAAGAAAGGTTAGTCTTTTATTGAAACCCTCATTTAACACCCAGCTCTTATATAGTGCTTTGCAAAGAAGGTCAGTATCATTATTCCCTTTTTACAGATGGGGAAACTGAGGCAGGGAGAGGGAAGTGGCTCCCACAGCAGACCAAGGAATTGAACCCATGACTCCTGAGTCCCAGTCCTGGGCTCCATCCGCTCCATCCGCTAGGCCATACTGCCTCATTCATCAATGCACTTAATCAGGTGTTGAAGTGCCTAAGTGGTCCCCCCTGGGATGCCTCAAAGTGCTCTGCTGAATCTGGACCTTATAGAGAAGGAATGTTGCGAAAAAGAATGACTCTAGCAACCGAAATGCCACATTATGAAAGGCTCCTGGGTGGGGTGTAGGAAGGAGAACAACAAGAGAAACCGGCAGAGTCATAGTTTCTTAAGTCCCATCTTGTTTACATATGTTTACTCATTTATATAACACTCGTGTTATCGCATTAGGCGCTCTTGAGGAGTGATACGTGGGATATGGTCCTTTCACCGGGCTAGGCCTCAAGGCATGTGCTGTCGCACCCAGGCTCAGCCAAGGAGGTTTATCTCTTTATCCAAGTTTCTCACACAAATAGAAAACAGTCTGAACTCTGTCCTCGGCCCCAGGCTTCACAGCCACCCTTCCCAGTCCCTAGGGTCTCTGGCACCCCAGCTCCTGGCAGCTTTCCAGAGCTCCAGGGACTCACCACAGAAGCTAGCTCCCCGCAATGGAGTGGGAGAGAGGCTGTGTCCCCTCTACCTTCTCTGGCAGCCGATTCCAAGAGTTCTTTTCTATGTGGACTAACCCATTACAGGGAGGGAAGCCTTTGTTTTTTTGCTAAACACAGTAAAATCTCAGCCACTGCAGGTATTTGCATCCGTGAACATAAAGCACATGGTTAGTTCACCTCAGCCACCATACACACAGTCCGTTATTTCCTCTCCCCTGTAATAAAAAGCTCTGAGTTTTACAAGGGAGCAGAGAGAGATGCCACCGAATCTGCCAGCTCAGTGAGAAAAGACAGCTGTGGATCTCTGGATAGGATGTGGATGATGGAGTCTTCCCCAACTACAGGACAAAACCAAGTTGGAGAGGACTGACTGCTGCAGGACCTGTGGATGGTGGATCAAGGAGCAGGACCTGTGGATGGTGGAACAAATGACCTATCTAATTAAACAGAGTTTATAGGTGGGGGGATCTCCCGGGACATGGATAATTTAGGATGAGCATCTAAATTAGAGACTAACATGGCTGCTACTCTGAAACCTAAATTTTGGAATGTTTATCTGAGCCACATTTCAACTCTGCAAGGGTGTCCCATGGTACCATCTTCCTAGTGCGCAGAGTGCTCCAGGAGAATTTGCTGTGTCATTTGACTGCATGGTGTTTAGAAGGAGAGGACGCTTGTTTGATGTGTCCTCCTCTCCATAGCCTTGCAATACCAGCGTGGGGGATTGGATACATTTTACAGCCCTTGCGATTCTAGAAGCAGGGGCAGGATTATTTCAAGGGGGAAAGGAGAGGTCAGCCTGGGAGTCCCGATCTTTGAAGGTGTGAAATACGTCAAATTAACTCAACAGCAAAAGCACCTGGCCTGGCTCCCTGCTCCAGATTTTATGCAGCTGAAAAACTGCTGAGTTTGGCTCCCTCTTTCTGTACACAGACTGTCTTTGCTTGGCTGGGAGAGAGCGAGGTCATTTTGCTTTAGTGTTTCCATTACTCACACACCTCAACGGCACCACTGAAACCTGCTGCTCATCTGCCGGATTTAACTCTCATTCACTCACCGCCAGCATGCTGGCTGTTCTCCGCTTGCAGTGACCAGCCAGCGCAAGGTTCCGTTCAGGGATGCTTTGGCCATACGCTGGAAACATCGAGAACTGAGGTCGGCCTAAGTCTGCCCCTACATCACAGGAGCGTGAACCTTCCAGCACCTTTTCTGGCGTCCCTCTCTGCTTGATAGAACCCAGGACTAGGCCCCCCGGTGAATGGCTGTGTGGGGTGCAAGGGAGGGTCTGCCTCATGGTATTCAAATGTGGGGTATTTGAAGATTTGGTACTATTGAGGGTCTCCCAGCTCACGGTTCATCCTTTCTTGCTTCACTGATGGCAGCTGATCCTTCTCTACTGCAAGCGTATTACTAAGCCTCAAAGCAAGCCCCCATGTGGCTAAATACTTCCAGTTCCATCAGAACTGTTACAGTCACCTTGACAAAGATCAGCCCATGAGTGAGGTCTGCCAACGAAAAGGTACATTGCAGTTTGGCAAAAAGAAATGTCCATTTTTTTCTGCACTCCCTAAAGCAGGGGTTTTCAACCTTTTTTCATTTGCAGACCCGTAAAGAATTTGAGTGCAGGTGCGGACCCCTTTGGAAATCTTAGACGTAGTCTGCGGACCCCCAGGGGGCTGCGGACCACAGATTGAGAAATCACTGTTCTAAAGTAACTCTTTACTCTTTAAGAAGCAGCAAATGATCCATGTTATCACCAGAATTCTTTGCTCTGAGAGTCCCAACCTCTGTGTTATTACCCATTATAAACTCTGTTTAATTAGATAGGTCATTTGTTCCCTCTTGCTATGAAACACCCAACGTCTTTTTCATTGTCTGAGCTAAACAATAAGAGAAAACAGAACTCATTTCTTGTAGCTGAAGACCCTGAAATTTCTAGGCCTTTTTAGCTCCCTGAATGCCAATCATACCTTGTGGTGCTCTCCTGTCCCGCCCATAATATATCTTTCTAAGGTTTTTGCATATGGTTATAACAAGAATCCCTAACTTACACTCTTTTTTTTTTTGTTAAATACCAACAATAAGATGCTCCCTAGTTTTTCTCCACTTAACTGTGCTCATTTTTGTCAACTTTTCTAGGAGAATCTGATATACTGTTGAACAAATTGTCTTTTCCCTACAGTTCTTTATTAGCTTCCTGAATTTGGCCTTTCGGAAGAATGGAGACATCTCATGATTTCTAAAGCTGAATACCACAGTTTTAAAATCCACAAAGGAATGGCGGCAGGTTTATCCCCTTTGCTGAAACATCCAAGAAGATTCGTGTTTTGTTCCAGGGGATTTGCTGGGACAAGTTTCCCTACAACAAGATCCTGATGGAGTCACCTCAGTGGAAAAAAAACAACCAGGTCCCCTTTAAAAGGTGACTCTTTGGTGTGTTATGAAAGCGGCACGCTGGTTAGCAATCTGATGGAAGAGAGCCATGAGTCACTTATACAAGCATGATTCACCTGAAGTCTAAAGTACAGGAAGAGGAACATGCAAATAAAATAGACAAAAAAGGAAAACCACAAAGGGAAAAGGACCAGAACCCAGGGCTGCAGAAGCTGCAGTGTGCTGCTAATGTACATCCAGGCTTCAGAAGTCTGAGGACTCTGCACTGGCCACCTCCAACATTCCTAACCACAGGCTCTGCAAG